TGGTGTCCTGTCCAGGGTGTGTGTGTGTCCTGTGATGGGCTGGTGTCCTGTCCAGAGTGTGTGTGTGTCCTGTGATGGGTTGGTGTCCTGTCCAGGGTGTAGTCACAATTTCCACCTTGTGCTCCTTGGATAGATACCAGGTTGCTGTGAGATTTTTTTCTGATATTGGATGGAAGGCAGAGTAATCCTGGTGCAGTGGTTCCAAACTTTCATCCTGTAGGAACAGTGTGTCTTCTTTTTTTTTACTGAATCACAGGATGCTTTATCTGCTTTTTGTGCTTGGTGCGTTTTGATGTCCATATTTTCACAATTGATTGTGTCAAGAAGTGCCTCCTGTTCTCACTTAAGTGCCCTTCCCTGTACAAAATTGATCATCTAGACCCAAATGGAGGCGGACGGGTAGCACAGAAAGCCCGATGGGGCTTTGCTGAAGGCTGCAGAGGAGAAATATTTTCCTGCCTCTCCTGCCTGTACTTGAAATGGGAGTGGTGGGAGAGGTTAGAGGGGAAGGTTTGGGTTCTAGAAAGATTGGCAAGGAGGGATGTGAACAAAAGAATGGCTGTCGTTTGACAGGCTGCTAAAACAGACTGAAACGAAATCTACAGCCTGGGACCCCCCCTCCCCTGCCTCCACACACCCACCAATCCCTGTGCTTCACACCGCAAATGATATCTGTATCCCCCTCTGCTGCGTGTGGTTTGTTCATATGAATCACACTGAGCTGATTATCCCACATATATCTTCTTTCTCTAACATCTTGGAGGGAAAAATACCCTTGTGTGAATATTCTAGCAGCTCCTCTGGTAAACAAAACATTACCAAATAGCCTAGATGGTCCGCATAAACTGCACTTAGCTGTAACAGGTTTGTTTAACATTCTTTAAACAATATCACAAGCATAGATACGCGCACTCAGGTCTACGTAGACTTGGCAAGCCCTGTGCTTGCATGTACAAACAGCACGTGCTTCTGCACATGGAAACATATGTACTGGTGGGGTTCGGTGCCTTTTTTCCACAACCCCTGTGTCCCATTCAGAGAAGAGCCAACAGTTAACAGTTGTTGTTTCTGTCAGCATGTTCTGGAGTGTGCCACTTTGGAAATCGGATACAGAGAAAGCAAATTCCAACATAGCGTGTACTACCAGCCCCTAGACTAATCTGTGTAAGTAATGTGCGTTCAGCAAGCGTTTAACCTTCTGCCTGCGCATAAACCACCTAAAGTCATGTTAGTCGGTCTCTTTTCATTTGTCTTCATGAATAATGCATGAAGAGTTCTGGCCCCGGTCCGAATGTGTGGGGATGAGCTGCCTGATGAGTATCAGAGGAAATGATGGAAATGCTGATGTAGTGGGAAAAAGAAGGGTCTGAGGTGAAGCAGTTAAACAAGCAGCTAAGAATCATTAGTTTATAGCACGGAGGAAAGATGTAGTCATTCAAAAGGAGGAAAAACCCCTCCACCCACACTTTTAGTGAGCTTCTCTGGTGAAAGTCCGCTTGTTCTCAGGTGACCGTGCGAACTTCCCTTTTGGTCATTTATTTTGGTCAAGTGAGCCTCTCACTCACTGATTAAAAACCAAATTAATTTGTTTCCTCCATTCTAGCAGGTTCGCCATTGGTAATGTACTGTATGTCTGCATTAAGTAATTATTCCAGCTAATTTGGATCCCACAGGACACTGCAATATTCAAGCGCACTATAATTAATTGCTCAGTTGTTCCCGACTAATCATCCAACGAAGGAATTTGGCAGCGGGGCCAGCATTGGAGGAATGTGATTCCAGATGGAAAAGAGCAGCTTTGCACTAATGGACAGGAATTGGCGTGTCACACAGCTCATCAGCCCTGTGAGCAGGCCAGGCAGAACTCTGCTCCTGTTAAGGGCTGGGAGGAAAGGGAGCTAGCTACTTACAGAGCTGTCAAGTTTGCAAGTTGCAAATTCAATATTTTTAATTTTTAAATGAATCACTTTTTTGGGTAGAGAACACAGTGTTGTGGTGCAGAATTGCTGCTTTAGGCAAAGCAGCAGACTCACAGCAGCTCTCCGACTGTGTCAGCAAAGCAGATGTAGATTATCATGCCCAGGGCTAAAACTGTATAATATCTGTAGGACAAAACTGGATCGGTACGAACTGTTGCAAAGGAGAAATTCGCCCAACTAGCCCATTTTGAGAGTTATCAGCTATTTGATTCATGGATCTCATGCCACCTGTTTCTTAAAAGAAGCCAGGACACAGGCTTCAACAACATGGCTGAGTTGCTTGTTCCATTCCCCTAACCCTTTGTGTAAAGAACCTGTTCACTGTTCATTCTGAATGAGTTCACTGGTCAGGAATTTAAATACTTGGATAAATTCCCCTCGCAGTCTTTTCTGTTCAAGGCTAAAAATGTTCAGTTCCTTCAGCCTATCAGAACAGGACAGTCACTTAAGCCCAGTAATGTATCAGGTTGTTCTTCCTACCAGTCTAAATACCATTGTGTTTGTTGATTGTGATTATTTTAACAACTCAGGTCTGAGCTCCTGGTCTTTCTCTGGAAAAAAAGACGAGTTATTGTGAGCACAGCTAACTGAGCTCTGCTAGTGACATATACAGTATGTAAGCTAAACAATCATGTGATTGAACTTTGAGGTTCCGTTATAAACAAGCAGTGCTGCATAAACCATATATTCAGTCAAGCATGTATCCATAGTTTGGGAAAAACAGAGTCATTTGAATTAATTGCTTCAATACACTGCACAGGGAGTTTTTGGAAAGCTTTGCTTGCTGAGCATTTGCAGATTGGCAGGGTTTTTATTTATATATATGCAAGCAGGCTAGCACTCCTTTTTTGCTTTTTTGGTGGGCTGGCATGGCTCTGGTGGCTCGTCCTGTAATTAAAGGCAGGCCAGACCTCCTAATCTCATCAAACTGTTCCTTGAAAGAATCTGGGGCCATGACTTCAACATCGTGGCTTGGTAACTTGCACTCTCCCACCACCCTTTGTGTAAAGAAGTGCCCCCTGTTCTCAGTTTTAATTGCACTGCCGCCTAGTTTCCCCTTTTCTCCCCTGGTTTGTGTTTCAAGGCTTGTTTTGAGGAGATCTGTAGGGTTAACTCTGTCAGCGTCTTTGACAATTTTTAATACTTGTACCAGGTCCGCTCCTCGTCTTTTCTGTTCAAGACTAAAAGGGTTTTGGTCCTTCAGCCTGTCGGCGTAACTCCTGGGATGTATCTGGGAGCTCTTCTCTTGGCTGATGCACAGTTTGTGTTGCTCTTTCTTTCTGCGCATCTTTTTCGTCTGATACCTATCTCGGGTCACATCAAGAACACCTGTGCTGCCCAAAGGGAATGAGAAATACTGATAGATACTGACACCCCGTGAGCTCCACGATGCCCGACAGGAGAGTTAGTGCCTATTGGAGGAGCCGTGCATCCCTCACTGATGTCACTGCATGTCTGCATACACCCGGACGTCACAGGCCTAGCTGTTTCACAGAGTTTGGCTGACTGATCCCTGCCGGCACTGCCTGGGGAAGCCTGGTCACAGTCAGCTATATCATCATGACCCGGGTTCGAATTCAAGTATCGCATTATTGTGCTTTCATTCGGCAATGAAACCGTGTTGGTTTGGAGTCATTCTTTCCCTCTGTCTCTCTCAGTTCTCCAAGGCACTGAAGCACTTTGGCGAAGATGAGGGCCGCCTGCAGCCCGACGAGTTCTTTGGGATGTTCGACACCTTCCTGCAGTCATTCAGCGAGGCCAGGCAGGACCTGGAGAACATGCAGCGCAGGAAAGAGGAAGAGGAGAGGAGAGCGCGCATGGAGGCCATGGTGAGAGAGCATGCACCTGTGAGCAAGGGTGCTGTGCGAACCGTTGGTGCATGCCTTGCCCATTGCACTAGTTCAGCCACACAGCTGTCACCTTGTCATGACAATCAAGCACTTTCAAAGCTGATTTTGAATCTGAATGAGAAGAGATGGTGCTGGAGTGCTTCAGGAGAGAAGGCGAGGTAGAGAGTAGAATGAAATCACTAAGAGCTTATTTTCCCAGTATGCTAGTGATATAGTGTAGCTGCCACTGTGGAGGGAGTTTGCATGATTGTGGTGCCTAGGGAGCCATGTAAAGGGTTAATTGCTTGATAGGGTCATTGGAGAGATCAGGACAAATGTGCACGATGTGTGCAAGCCAAGCAGCAACAGCTGCCCTGATATAACTTAAGTAAATAATGCCTTTTCCTTAAATAGAACACAGCACAATGCAATTGTGCATTTAGCACACAAATCGTGAAGGATAAAGAATGATTGGCATCAACACTTGAAGACTGTTCTTCAGATGCATCATTTGGTCTCGAAAAGAGTCCCCCTCAAGTCTGTGCAACAGCCAAAGCATGTTTTGTTGGATCTGTTATCCCAAGACACTTATTTCTTGTTTTCTAAAGATCCCAAGAACTTCTTGTGACCTTAATATTGCATTGATTTATTTACATTCCGATCAACAAAACACTATACACAGATTGCATTTTGTTTTCCTCCTTGTAGAATCAAATGTAGGGATCCAAATATTAAGTAAATAATAAAAAGCAGCAAGTTAAATCACTGCAATAATATATTAGAATCTTGCCTGGTGGATCTACTGTATATTTCAGCTGCATTTGAGTGACATAACAATACTGCTTTTTTCTCCAAAAACAGGAATAAAAATTATGAGAAAACAAAAAAACTTTGCTATAGTTACTATACCCTATAGTTTCTAAATGTTACTACGGATGTGATTTTGTTTAGTTTGCACATTCATTCATGGATTTAATACAGTTCTAAAAAGCAGTTCTAAAAAGCATACCAGAACAGACCTTGGATTACTGCCCTCAGATTTTGATTCGATTGAAAAATGTTTTAGCATTAGAACTGGAGTTAGAATAAGTGCTTGCATTAGGTTACTTTGGTCTGGAATGTAGGCAGGTTTTAGGGATAGTACTGGAGTAATGATTAAGTTTAGGATTGGATCTAGGTTTAGGATTCAGGGAGAATTTGCAGATGGAGTTAGATCTGTACCAAGGATTAAAGTTAAGGTTGGATCTACAGTTAGGATTAGGGTAAAGGTTGGGGTTAGAGGCGATCTGGGACAAGGATTTAGGGTTGATCTAGGGCTAGGATTAGGGGAAAGGTTGGGGTTAGAGGCAGGTCTGGGACAAGGATTTAGGGTTGATCTAGGGCTAGGATTAGGGGAAAGGTTGGGGTTAGAGGCAGGTCTGGGACAAGGATTTAGGGTTGATCTAGGGCTAGGATTAGGGGAAAGAGAGGCCTCACTGTTTCCTGACCGCGTGTCCGTCTTGTCCACGCAGCTGAAGGAGCAGCGGGAGAGGGAGCGGCGGGCGAAGAAGAGCCAGGCAGGCAGCGTGTCGGAGGAGGTGGGGGAGTTCGACGACCTGGTGTCGGCCCTGCGCTCGGGGGAGGTGTTCGACAAGGATCTGTCCAAGCTGAAGCGCAACCGCAAGCGCTCAGGCAGCCAGCTGCTGGAGAGCTGCGGCCGCGAGAGGCCCGTTACCAGGGTCAACTATTGACACTAGGGGCCGTCAGACTGCGCAGGGGCAGGGGCAGGGGCAGGGGGGGCCCCTCCCACCCCCACAATAGACCCGTATCCTCCAGGCACCAGGGCAGCCTGACACCCATCTCCAATCCCTGCGTACACCCCTCTCACCTCTGCAGCTCGGACAGCCAGAGGGCCGTGACTGTCCCACAGGAAGTGCCAGAAACAGAGCTCATGCCCATCTCAAGAGCATCACCTGCTCGGGGACTCTCGCTTCCCGAAGCCCCGGCTGTCCTCAGACTCTTCCTTCCTTCCTTCCTGTCACAATTCGGCCTGAAGGGAGGGACCACCTGTTCTTTCCAGCTCGTACAGTGGACATTGAGAACAGTGACCCCCGCCCCTTGCCCCCTGCCCGCCCCCGTTTCCTCCTCAGAGAGTGTTCTCTTCAGCACGGCCTACATCAACAAAAGCAGACAGTACCCAGTGGCCTCCTCCCCCTTCACCGTGTTGGGACGCCAGCCCGGAAACTGTCCACAACATGTCTTCTCCCCATTTCAGTTTGTGTCTCATTTCCCCTTGTCTCACATGCCTGACTGAACAGCGTGACCAAGGACTTCTCGAAGGTGGCATTCTTCTCTAGAGTCCAGGGCCGCCAGCTAAGGTTAACTGTCTTTTCTGACAGCTGTGCCAAGGCATGACCAGAGTGCACTTTCGGAAGAAGCAGCAGCCAACAGAGTTTCCTTTTCATATGGCATTTGTATCTCCAGCTATGGACCCAGCAGTGCTTGAAAGCCTAAAGCCCGGCACACACCTCCAAGTGGGAAAGCTGTGGGCTTTCTGTGCAACAAAGCAGCTGCACAGAAGTTACCCCGGTAGGGAACTGGAGCTCGAGCCTGATTTCGTACTATGCTTTTCAAGTGCCTTGTCTTCCACCCAGCCCTCTTGAGGAGGAGCTGGTTGGGAATTTCTTAAGGAGACCAACACAGTTGGGAATGAAAGGTCTCAGTGTTATGATGGAAAAAGGGGGTCATTTGTTTTTTTTTTATTTTAAGAAATGAGAACTGTAAAAAAAAAGAAGAAGCAGTAAAAAAAAAAAAACACAGCCATTTATTACTGGTTTGCCAGTGCCAAAGCTTCACACAAGAAGATAAATAGAAAAGATGGCATTTATATATTTATATATAGAAACGGACATGCTTACCTTGGAAAATTATGTTTTGGTTATTTTTATAATGTTGTTTTTTTAGCCTTGTTTTAAGATGTATGTATGTGTTTTAGTCACCTTTTAGCATTGCTATTTCTGTGCTGTCAATGTGTATTCATGAAAGAGACCCCTCTCTCTGGGAAAGATCACACTTTAAGACCTTGTTTGCACTGTTATCCTAATGCGAAACCTTTCTGCCCTGCATCCTTTCTGCAAGGAGGATGTTTTTATAATCATCCAAGAGCCACAAATAATTACCACCAACGTCTGAGGCACTGCCACAGCCAGTCAGTTATAGTTACACTGCACGTGTACCATCAGCACGGCCAGTGTTCGTTCTCATGAACCCCAGCCTTCCATCAGAGTTTGAGAAAACAGCACATTCAATTCAAACTATTAAACCGGACCATTCTGATTTACATTAACTGGATCAGTGTTATTTAGAATGCATGATCCCATTAGCATTTAGAATGAGATCCCATCTCAGTATAAGCTGATATTAACCAGTGTTCTTTCTGCTCACTTTATCTAATGATCAGAGCTTAAAGGCTCTACTGTGGCTAAAGATGATTATAGATTAGTTTTATTCCTCTTTGTCAAGATTGGCCAACGTCCAGCCAACAGCATCTAATAATGTGGTTAAGAAGGTCTGTGAGATCTGACTCCTCTTCCAGGGCAAGTGTGATTGCTATGATTGCAAACAGAGCTTCCCTGTGATAAATGGTTGAAAAGACACAGATTGGAGTACAGAGCAGATCCCTAACTGCAGTTTTGTATTGAATGCAATATTGTATGTCACCCTTCAACAAGAACTTGCTTTCTTCACGGCTGATCAAAAAGAGAGCACAGGGAATAAGGAACGAGGAAGGGAGAGCAATGCAATACCTGTGAACACCTCGAGGAATGGAGTTCATGAAACAAAAGGCCCTCCTGTCAGCTACTGGCCAGCCCGAGAACTCCAGGGAATCGCAAAGACCTTTCATTTTTTTCCCTGTTTTTAAAAAATATCCACCTAACCAGGACAAAGGTTGCATGAACATTGCCATTCGACTTGCTTTGGATCACATCTGATCCTCTTAGGGATAGGAGAGAGCTGGGTGAGGTGGATGCCACTCTGGGCTGTATGGTGCCAATCTGCAGTGGGCCACCAGTGTTCCAGCTTTTGCTGGGACTCAGTATCTTCAGCACTCTTGGTGGGGGTGTGGGGATTGCTGTATTCCGGAGATTAAGGTTGGAAAAGTAATTCCCAAACAATCACTAAACATCTGTGAGAAAACTGGAGCAGAGAAAGCCTTTCAGGCAGAGAGAACCAAACCACAGAGAAACACTCCCACTTATAGCTTGGAACCAGGACAGTACAAACAAGATCAAAAAATATACGTTGTGTGCTGAGCTAAACCTCAAAGGATACAAGTCACTCTGAAGAAGTGATGAATTGCGAGTATTAGATCTCAGTTTCTTCTGAAAGTATTATTTCAGTTTTAACATGAGAGAGAGAATGGATCTCTCAGCAGTGAGTAAACTGTATACTTTGGAACAAGTAATAGGTTTATTCCATGCTGAAAAAAAGAAGAAAGAGAACACAACGTTTCGGCCGTGGAGCCTTCTTCAGGTGTCATCACCTTCTTCAGGTGTTGACACCTGAAGAAGGCTCCACGGCCGAAACGTTGTGTTCTCTTTCTTCTTTTTTTCAGCATGGAATAAACCTATTACTTGTTCCTTTGCAGCCTACGCATGCTGACGCAGCTACCCACCTGAACTGTATACTTTGTCCTGTGACAGAACAAAAACAACCTTCCTATCTTCAGTATTAAAAAACTGAAAATACATCCTGCATTCATTCTTTAGGTATGAAATTCCTTGTTCTCTGGTTCGCCTTCAAACACTATGATACCAGTTGAGTTGCTGATAAATCACACCTCTCGTTTTCTCACTTGGCAGACTGAATTAAATACATTGTGAGGAGAATGTCTCTTATGTCTCTAAAAGGAGACATAACTGAAAAGCTCCTTCTGCAAGGGGCTGTATCTTCTGGCTTGCTTTCAGAGATTGATGGTGAGTGGCTCATCTGCCCCAGGGATCACTTCTGAGCTCTGCTGAAATGGGTGCATGGCCCATCTTTAGATGTTTCAAAGCGATGTCCAGCTGGTCAGAAGTGGACGGTCTGATTTAAATGAAAACGTACCACAATGCAGTGCTGTATTTGGCAGTCCCCCAGTAATTTGGATGAAGATTAAGTAAAAGTATAGGAGGATGGCAGATGAGATTTCAGCAGAAGACTGGAGACACACGGGTTGGGGGAATCCCGGCATGAAATCAAAGTCCTTGATTTCTAGTGAGTTTATGGCACTGGGGAATTCCAACTCTCCGCATTTTAAAAGCAACGCAGAACCACGACAAAGTGAAAGAAGCACAACCGCCACGATCGGACTCTTCCTCCCAGCTCTAGAAGACAGACATACGGTACATTGACATCGGGCTCGGGTTTGGGATTGTGCCTGTGGGACTGTGTGGTGGGGGGGGGACAGTGAACTGTCACAGTGTGTGGCCCTGCCCTGTGTAGCTTCTGTCCAAGATGAAGGTCCTCTGTCTTTACACTGTGATAAACGTGGAATTAACTGGCATTACAAAATGGCAAATCTTTCACCGACATTAAGGCTGTGCTCCTACAAGGGCCTTGTAGCAGCAAGTGTTATTGGGGGAAGGCTTTACTTTCGTTTTCCAGCCAGGGTGTGTTAAGAGTAGTCATCTTACAGCATAGATAAAACTCTTCAAAACCTGATCCGTTGACAAAAGATGCAATATTTTTCTCCAATGTTACATTTTTTTTTAATTATTTGTATAGAACAGCACAATATAAATGCAATGTAATATTAGAACAGCACAAACCACAAGAATAGATATAATCATGGTATCCTTTAGTGGTTAATTTGCACTATTTTGTTAACAAGTAATGAAATGTCTAGACCAGAGTTTCCCAGTTCTAATCTTAGAGGGCCAGAAGAAGACTGTGCCTTTTCCCAGTTCTCAAATGTTATGTGCTTTTAAAAACACAGAATGCTGGAGTTCAGCAAATTGTTCCCACAGCTGTAGAACATAAATTGGCTGATTAGGGTCTGATTGAACTGAAAGCCTGGGGACACAGTGAGACTCCAGGGCTGGAATGGGGAAACACTGCTCTACACACTCTGACAACAAAGGCTTTCACTGTGGTTGCAACTGATGAACCGGGTAACTGTGAGGCTCCCACCTGGTCTGGTCCTTGGTTCATTTCGATGTGGGTTCTGTGCACAGCCACTTGTTTTCTATGGAGCTGCTCAGTTTCTCTTATAAGCTAATGCAACTCCTTGCACCTACTATAAATGGGGAGGGACATAGACTAAGACGCAGCCTGACAGCTGAAAGGCTAGAGACTCCTGTTAAGGCAGTATTTCCACTAAGACCTTCTGAGAGGTCTTGGGAATTCCTTTTGAAACTCTGTCTCAATTCGGGGACAGGCAGCAACAGCTCTGAGCTGTTGACTGAATTCTGCCTGTGCCTTGACAAGGCAAACAAGTTGGCAAAGACATTGTTGTGAGTATGGTTAACATACTTGATTGTGGAACAAAGAGAGACCAGGAAATGAGCGTGCAATCCGAAGACCTCTCAGACCAGCAATCCCCAGGGAACACTGATGAACTGATTTAAATAGAGAGGCCTGTTTCTTTCTGCAATAAGAATTGATATACATTATACATCTAGTAATGCTAATACTGCATGGAGTTGGTACGTTCTGTTTTCATGAATAAGGATATGCCACAGATTCCCCAATTTCACTTTTACAATTTTTTATAAATCTAAAGAAAAAATTATCATCCTTTGTTAAATGCTCTGCCACATACTGCACCTCTGGAAATAAGGAAAGTCTCATTTTGTAAAAAAAAAATCCACTTGCAGCATTTTAAAAGCAGCTCACTGGCTCCTACTGTGAAGACATGCAAACGGTCCATATAACCCGAGGTTAGATATAGCAGAGTAACGGTGGCCACAGAGTTTCTTAAGTGAATCAAGGACTAGTACCTTAGCCAGCTCCCTTGGTGCATAAAGAGAAACCTAGACCAATGCCTCAAAGAGCAGTGAAACAGAATTATGTAATGGCTCCAATCTACACCACTGCAAGAAGCTTCTGGTGAGAACTCCCATTGTTCCTCTATTGTCATTATGATAAATATTATGCATTTTGTTTACCGTAAAGTGCCTATTTTTCTGACTGGTACCTTGCTGTTGTCTTTGGTGTTGAGTCATCTTCCTACAAGGAACCATTCTGTAAAAATGCCATTTTAATGGGTTGCAACTTATCAGAGACTTTTAAACTCTATCCTTGGCACATTATCTGTTATGACAAAATTGTGGTTTATCTTGACAGGTGTTCTTCCCACCTTACAACTGAAATAAACTGACAGGTACTGTTCAGCCTGCACCTCCCCACTGAAACAGGTCAAACAAAGCTAAAGAGTTCTAAAAGTATTATAAGTTATTTAATATTTTTATTTGCCTTAAACACAGCTTTCTGAGTGTGACCAGAAACAGCTTTCTTTGTCTTTCTCACAGCTTGTCTGAATAGAGTGTGACAAGCGAAGAAGAATTCTCTGAGCTTGCACCTATTTAGAGAATAGTCTTCTAGTCTGTATTCAGTAGTGACATAGGACGGTTGTCATGAATTTGAATGACTGGAGACATTAGACTGAAGAGTTACTGGAGACAAAGTTCCGAAGCTTGCCATTCTCATCCAAACTTGTCTTTAAAAGTAAAAGCATTGTTTTATGCATTGAAGCGGGATTATGTTTTACAAAGCTTGTAAACAGTTGCAAAACCAAGAGAAAATTTGGAGGCTTTTTGACTGTACGAACGTGGCTTCTCAGAAACTTAACAAACTAAAAAGTCCAACTCTAATGGTACAGTAATTAAGGTGTAGGAGGATTCTACTTTTACTTTACAGTCTTGACAAGATAAAGAAGAAATCTGAAGAAAAGTAACAGCTTCTGGTCAAACTTTAAGAGCATTTTGGCTAAAATAAGGCAAGTGGCTTATAAAGTGCCACTGTCACTATTACGACTTTTATTTCAAAATTAACATTCTTTTTATCAGCACAAGAAAGGTTATAAGCGTGAGGAGCCCTTCTTCCCTCTTACTAGGTAACAGTGAATTGATCTGAGGGTCCCATTCAGCCATTTTTTAAAAGAAACCAACCACATGGCTAGGTAGCTTGTTCCATATTCCCAAAACCTCCGTCACCACACAAGAATTCCCACATTCCAAATAATTACTCAGAGTCAGTTTACAACGAATAATGGTTTTATAATGGAATAATAGACTGTTTTTCAACTTCACTTTTCTAAGAGCTACTGTTATAATAAAACAAGAAAAAATTAAACCTATTTATAGGGTTTTTTATCTTTTTTTAATCAATTTACATTGAAACTGTTCAGAAGAACAGTTTTTGTATAAGTCTCTTTGAAATGTCTGTAGCATTAACTAACGTGAGGAGGTACCCAGGCAGACTAATGACATGGTTTTGAAATATATGCTTTTCATTTGGGCTATTTAATTTGCCACAAAGTCATATGACACCTCAGTTTATATTGATCAGTAAAGGCCTATCATTATTTGGTTTTGAGAGTAGTACCTTGAAGTAGAAAGACTGGAGTATGTGACAAATGGTACCCAGTTCAGGCTACACAAAAACTGAATGAAAGACATAAGGTAGATAGTGATGATGTAGAAGGTAGTTTCACAATTCGACTGGTAGAACTTTTTGTGATATCCATTGCCCATAGTTTTCAAAAGAAAAAAAATCAGAATTGTATCGGTAGTCTAAAATCATTTAAAAACAAAGAATTGGCACGTGTTTTCAGACTGCAGGATTGCGGAATCTGGTCTTAAGACAGAATCTGCAGGAGTCACCAGAACACAGATTACATTTTAACTACTTTAAGCATTCCACGAACAGTCAGTGGTAATACATTTGAATTAATCTAATGCCTGGAAAGAAAGAACTCCATATAACAATATAAACCACAGCTTTTGATGCGTCATAAGTCCACCATGAAAACTCCACAGTAATTACAATAATTACCACTGAAGTGATCTATATCCAGTGTGGAAGTGAAGGTTAATTCCAAGCTGAAAACAAAGAAGAAAAATAGACACAGTGCTATAGCCAAATGGTTGTGTATTTTTCACTTTTAATAATAAGTTCATTAATCAATGAATGTGCAGGTCACTGAAGTAGCTCCCACTCTGTGTTATCCTTTGTTGCATCCCTTTGAAAATGGCATTAGAATCCAAAAGGACATAAGAACATAAAAAGGTTACGTACAGACAAGAGAAGACCATTCGGCCAGTCTAGCCCATTAAGTCAAAGAAATAGGTGTTGTTGCGGATGAATTTAGTTTTAAACCTCTCCTCTTACAAAACATGTACAGTTGGACATTTTGTAGCTGATGAGAAGTGGAATAAAAACTGTTTAGGAATGTCCAATCAGCCTGTAAATTGTACCTCTATTTATTTGCCTTATTTAGTTTGCTATATTTTTATGTATACACGGCATTATGCTAAAAATGTTATATATATATATGAAAAGTATAAATATATAAATAATTATAAACTGTTGTCTGTATTTGTTGGTCAGTTTCAGTATAAGAATGAGCTGTTCGGAATCCTTTTTTTTTTTGCTTGTTTTATTTTGTAGGATTACGACAAAATAAAGAAAACTATTGTCCTTGATGTCTTAGTCCTCTCTAGATTATGTCCTAGACAATTCTTTCCTGCATCTTTCAGAACAAATCATTGAAAACTGCCCGGAGACCAATGACAATAGTCACAACGGATATTTCCCGTGGTGGCATGTTGGAGAATGGGTCATGTTAGTAGCCGACTGTGACTGGGATTCCTCTAAGCCACCATGCACAATTGGCTAAGCACTGAAGAAAATTAGGATGAGTCAGCCAGAGCCTCTCTCGGCAGCAGCACAATGTTCTGGGCGGTTGCTCCATGCCACTGTGGCCATCTTGACACCACAGCGATCTACGTGGCTGTCTGAGCACGCACAGTAACTGCTGCTCCAGTCAAGAGCCTCGGACCTGCTCCCTGCTTCCTAACACACCTCCAGCATGTCGGTACGGTTACATCTCCGCTTTTTGACTTTCTGAACTGCAGTTAAAAACGGAAAGGTGTCGCCTCTCCTATGAATCCTAGAACACATCTTGCTAAGCAGGGAGATTCCATTTTTTATCATTTATTGCTTCAACTCTGAGAGTCTTGAGAGTCCAGTCCCTTCACTGTGTTAGTGTAGAGAGAGCAGGGAGAGGCTAGCAGCCCATGGCAATACCCTGTGCTTTGAATATAGCATCTTTCATGGTATGTCATAACCAGTCATCTGTACTTGGCAATGATGGAAGAGACAGTCACATTGTCACATGAGTCTTCAGGACAGACGCGCACAGTGACAATTTGGAGTCTCTGCACAAAATCCCCAAGAGGTGCCTGTATCTTGAACCTATACAGTTAAGAACACCACTTATTCTCAAACTGAGGTCCTGGGTGTCTTTTCTCCTTTCAATAAAATAGGCTACTAAATTACGGTTTATATACCCTTCATGTTTAGTATTTCCAAGTGTCAAATCAGGCAAGGTTCACTGCTACAACCCCAGTATTGGCAAGGAGGGACGCAAACTGTGTGGCTTTCCCTACAAATGCCCTCTTGAACTGTACAGCTTTTGCTGACTCTTTTGAGTCCCATAGTGCTTCACAGGTCCACTAGCACTGAGGGACAGCAGGATCCCGCACTGGGCTGCACTGTTCAGGGTCACCCTGTCCGTTGAGGGATATTAAAACACCCAAGAGCATGCTGTCCTGACTGATGGATTGAATGAATACTGCACGCATGTTTAAATCAGCTACATTTGACCTGCAGGGCTTAACTTTAGTTAGCATGTTTGGTAGAAGGGCTGTACTGATAGAATCACTCTCAGCAAAACTCTTCTTTCCCAGTTGCCCTCCTCCCCCTGGTTCTTACACTTGCACCCTACCTGAACCTCCCTGAATAGTGCCCTTTCGTCAAGAAAAACACCTTCTCGGGCAGGATTTAAAACTCCGGTCTCGGCTCGGGAGAGCAGGCCCGGCTTGTTTCGGGCCTCCAGAGGTACTGCAGAGCTGTGCCCTGTTAACCTGTGGGGTGAACGGGTGGTCGGAGTCACTCCCGGCCCTGGTGCTCAGACACTCTTCTAAGACTACACCTCTTGAGATGCATCATCTCGCTTTTGAGGGGGTCCTGCAAGGATACATCCAAAAAAAAAAAGAAAACATAAAAATAAAAATACAATTTACAGTAGCTGCTGTGAAAGGTATCTGGTATAAATCAAACCTGAAAATGCATTAGGGTAGAATGATTTCAATTGCAAGAGCATTCTGTTTTTAAAAACAAAATTAGTTTATTAAAAACATAAATTCAACTCTGTGATCTTACTTCAGAGGGTAAGCTATTCCAAACCATGAGCGCTTGAAGAGTACCGACTCCCTGACATCAAACTCTTTCCCCTCCCCTGGGTCTCATTGCTTCTCCTTCATTAGGCTCTTTGAAGTCTCCCGCTTTCCGTTTTCGAAGACTAATTAAGCCGTTTTTTTAAAGTTTTTGCCCCCATTGTAGAAGAGAGAGCTGAGAAATCAAGTGCAATGGTCCGAAGACGACGTTAACACACCACAGGAAGGGGAGGACACACCGATTACAGAACAGCTGCATAGCAGGGAAAGCATGGAAGAACATAAGAAAGGCTACAAACAAAGGAGGCCATTCTGCCCATCTAGATCATTTTGTTAATTAATCCAAGATTCACCAGTGCTTTTCTGAACAGCTTTTGAATGGCTGGACAGCTCGTTTTGTACTCCCTCAAAGGGGTGTGCGAAAAGGTTCACCCTCATTTGAACTGCAATGCACTTCCCTGCAGTTTAGAACAAATTATTAATTGCCGAGCTGTCCACCTGGGGCAAATGAGCATCAACAGGATTGGTGCAGAGTCCAAGTCATTTCCTCCCTAATCCACAGATCCGAGATAACAATCGGGCATGCATATCCAGGCTAAAGCCACACTGTCCTGAATTCACTAGTTAGAGCCTGGCTGGTGAAATACAGCACTACCAGGGAAATGACACCATTGATCAGCGCTCCGATGCTGCCATCTAGCGGTGGAAAGTAAAACTGAAATCAGACAGGAAGAGCTCAGAACTGATCATTTAAATGGCATGCTAGCCGTCTACTAAGATGTAAAATATTGTCCTTGGCTTAGATTTTATTTGGGGGGGGTTTAATAAAATAACAGGAAAGCTGGTACTACAAGAAATGGGCAGTTGAGAGGACTGGAGAGGCTGCCAGTAAAAGTTAAGAACTTGAGAAACCAGAAACGAGCTGGAATTGGGGGGGGCGGAGGCAAAATGACAAAGTGTGGACTGCCAAGTGTCTTCTGTGAACCAGATTCACTGCTCATCTTTGCACTCTGCCATAAGGCCCCCTTGACATAACCTGTGTGTGCACATATGAAAAATATACCTAATAAATACTATTCAGGCAATAACAGAAAACAGCTGTAATCCCGAGCTCTTGCCAAGAACTGTACTATTCTAGTTTAAGTGTAGTAAATCACTTTGATATTATTAGGAACTGGGAGAAGACTTCCATATCCGTTGCATGAAACCTATTTAAATACATTCCCAGTCCAAAATCCATAGAAGGGACGAAGTGCAAAAATAAGGGGGACAGAAATTCTGCCAGTTGTGTTCAGAAAAAAAAATCAATGTAAGGAAAAACAAACGACAGCTTTTAACTCAATTAAATCACTCAACCGATTCAGCCATCAAAATAAGTGAAAAATTCACTCTAAACTTAATTTATTGTAATTTATTATATAGTGCATTTCGTGTTGAGAGGTCCCAAATCATTTCACCTACAAAAAGAGACTCACTTCGTCCCCCACTGAAGCACAGCCCCACCTAAGTGACACAGGAGATCAAGGGGAGGAGAGCAAAACCGATTCACCGGCTAAAGAGGGAAAACAAGCTCTTTTATGATTTGGCCTTGCTTTGTAGAAATTTAACTAGGTCATAGGGGGTTAACACTTCTCTTTGAGAAAGGATCTTTAATGACCATGGAGTAAGTATCTGGGTTTAAGATCTCATTCTAAACATGCTACCTTGTCACCATAGAGTTCCAACCCTGGACAGGGTTTTTCATCTCTTTAAAGCTCCAATTGGGATTGAAATTGACCCAATTCACATTTCAGTTTTCTAGAACTGCCATAATTAAAGCATTTTGTCTAAAATGTAAACATTTGGGCTAGCAGGAAAAAAAAAGGTTGTGGGTGTGTCTGACAGTGAGACGCCCACCTGTGTCTGCTCATCAGCAAATTAACTAGTAAGAGCTGTTTAATCAGATAGAACAGCAAGTACGTACAGGAGAGGGTTGCATGAAATCCGGTGTACTCCGATTGCTGGAAACAGTACCCTTTTTGACAATCAGGATATACTGTAGGAAAGAAGTCTAAACAAGCAAGCAGATCGAGTAAGTCATCAATTAACAGTGGAGATGTAGAACTCAGCTGGAAAGCTGGAACGAAAACCAGCAGAGAGTGCTCCCCCAAAACTTGGGCTGGTCACTGCCACAGAGGGACATTGGTTTGGTTTGGAAATTGTGCTTCAGACGGAAAAGCACCACACCATTTACTGTACAGCTACAACTTGGTTTTCCCTGGAAGTCTCCCCTCCCAGTACTGGCCAGTCCCAGCCTTACGGAGCTTCTGAGATCAGAGGAGGTGAGGCTGCAAGATGCGAACACTGCTGCGAAAACAACTTTGCAACATGTGCAAGGACATATTAGTGTTTCCTTTATTGTCACTGAGGTATACAAACATAGCATTGCAAGTCAAATACATCTGTCATAAAGTATGGTATTACAATACAAAAATACAGAATAAACATTACAGTAGATTACAAATTCTGAGGCATTTGACATTCCCTCAAAATTGCACTAAAGAATAGTAGTTGGGATGTGTTCAGTGATTTTTTTAGCATTAAACCTGGAATTACTATCGCAAAAAACTTCAAAAAGAGAAGCAGAAGAGCTGAACTTTACTAAGAAAACATTCCTGAAATGCTGCAGCACAGGACCTGCTAAATTAATGATTTAAGTCCACCCCAAAGATTTACAATATGAAGAGCTTGTCAAGCACATCTAAAATGTGTGTAAAATGTTGCAATAAATACTGAAATGTGGAATTTCACTCCGATAGTCAAAACATTGAGCAATGCATATCCTTAAATACACCCTGTCCTTCATTGCTATACTTGAAAAGGGCAATCTGTCACTTTATCAGAGTCAAAAACGGCAGCTAGTGACTTCTTAATGCTCAACTGCCCTTGCATTTGTTTGCATTTAGCTTATTGTGCAAATCACCTAAAAAACAGTTTTGTAAAAGACAGTTGTGAAGAGAAGATAGTCCAAACATCAACCACAGTTAAGAGTTCTTGACATGAATTTGCAAAAGCATTCCATTTCTCAAAAAGTATTTTGATCACATTTAAAAAAAAAAACTTTAGATGCTTTCCAATGGGGATTATCTAAATAATGTGAAGAACTATCATGCCTGAACCTGAACCAGGTTATGATAACGTCCCAATATGCATAGTTTTCAACTTCCAGAAACATACTTTACTGAAGTAAAAAAAAATACTGAATAAAAACTGAATAAAAAGTTCGACCTGCAGGGATGCAAGGAGTCACAGCACAATTCAGTGAAGGTTTGAGATAAGGTTAGTGACAAACAAGGCATATCCCCCACAATACACAGATTATATCAGCGTTACAGCAATTTGTAGTCAGAATCCAGCCTATGGTATTAACAACTCCCAACAAAGCAACGGTTGGACTGAAGTCTAGTTATCCAAGGATACATGGATCAGTCCATCGGATGTTCAGCTCCCAAGAATGGGAATGAGGGGTGTGTGACGGGCCAGAGGCACAGCCCTCAGGTAAGATGAGCACGCTGGAACGATGGAGCAAAGGGGGTGGACTGCGAGCAGACCTGACCCGATCTGTTCGATTTGGGAAGGTGAAGGGTAAAGTCCCCTTTATGTAATAAAGCACAGGCTCATGAGCCACTAGTTCTCTTGGCATCTATGCTTACAGCACTGCAGCTCTTCCTGGTTTCGAATTTCCAACACGGGGCTGTAGGGATGTCAGAACGCAGTCCAGTGAAGGTTTGGGATGAGTTTAATTGCAATGATAATGGCCACTTCCGGAGATCACTGAAGGAGACCTGCATACGAGGTGTATTTCCCACAGTGCCCCGAAATGCAACAGTATTAGAGAGGATTTTATAGTCCCAGTCCAGCCACGTTATTCCCACGAATGGGGGTTTAAGAGCCCACACTCTACGTGTGGTCTACTGGCTATTCTAGATGATGCTGTCTCTCCTTTCAGCTATTTTTATTCTGTCACGTACAACAGCAGGTCTGTTCAAAATTCTCTCAAGCCACGTCAGGAGACCAGGACAATGACCCCAGTCCAGATCCAGAGATCTACAGCGCACATGTGGCTTCAGACAGGTCAGAAGATGATATAATATCCCCTCAATGCATACCACTGTTTCCCTTGAAAACCACGTAGGGAGAAGGGTTGTAATACAAATATGATGGGGTAACAGTTGATACAGTTAAAAGATTTTAACATTTTCCCAAGGCTTCATATATGTGAAAACTCTCACAAGCCTCAACTGGCTTGAAACAATTTAGAACTGTTTGACTTATTTTCCCTGCTTGAAGTAGTTGGCACGTTTTATTATATTCCAGAAAAATGCAGAATTTTGGCCCTCAAGGACAGAACTGTTCTCTAAGACTGTCATGTCATGCTTAAAAAACAGACCAAATGTTTTTCATTTTCCCAGTTCCCTAGAAATACATGGAAAATAACAAACCAGATCTCCAGCAAGTTACCATAAAACACAAATTTGGCCAAAAATATCCACTTCCCTTCATGTGTGAAAACAGAGATGTCATCCAGGCCTGTGCGATGGGATGGATAGCGGAGCCAGATCTGCATTTTAATACAGGTTTACAGAAGAAAGGCAGTAAATGGCCTACTGCATGTCAGTAACGAAGCACAACTTTAATAATCAACGTACAAAGCATTCGCCTGAGCACAGTTTGAGACTGTTCATGTCACTAGCTGACTGGGTAACTGGACCTCTGAAAGGACTCTGTAGTCAAGAGTTTGAGGGTGCGTAAGGTCACAAGCCAACTGTATAGCTGCCCCCCCTCCCGAGTGTCTTGGGCAATAAGGGTGCTTCACTGACTGCAGGTTGAGCTCTGAGATCAGGGTTCGAGAGAGATTGGGTCAGAGCACTAGCTGACTGTGACTGGTATTCTCCAGGTGGTAGTGCACAACTGGGCTGAGCAGTGCCAGGGGTAGGGTGGGATCAGACAGCCAGGGTTCTGCATGCAGTGCGGTCGGTGAGGGACACACCTCTCCTCCAGTCGGAATTGAACCTGCAGTACCAGGCGATGCTGCAAGCGTTGTGTTAAAAACAAATGAGCTCAAAGGTGAGAGGGAGGAGGTATCTACCCACACTTCCTCACTAACCAGTGTGTGGTTGTGGAGGTTCATGGCTGCGAACTGAAACGTGAAAAACGCACAGCTGCTACACATCAGGTGGGCAGAACGAAACAAAAAGCCGAGGTGCAGAACTTACAGAAGCAGAAAAACCTCTAACCTGTAACGTCACACTAACCACATCACTGTTTTTTTTACAGAGTTATCTGCCGTTAGCTTAGATTAATCTGGGAGCTGTACAGACGTTCGAGAACAATATGGGCCTTCAGGGGGAAATCACTAGTTTAGGATAGTCCAGAAGAAGGGCAACTCTGAAAGCACAGTTCTTGGTGAAACGGTAGAGAGAACCAGTGACAGCTGCTAAGGGGTCAGCTGCTGTGATTTGAGCTTGGCTTACGAAGCTCTGTGGTCTGTTAATAAATGAGGAATTACAAGGTAGTTCAGTTTCAGGGTGAACAAGACAACAGTACAGAAATGGCATGATGAGCAGTACAGCACTTAGTGTGAATAAGCTAGCTGCACCCATGAATACCTTGATGATGGAAAACGTCCCCTTTTGGGGTACAGGGGGCATAGTTTCACATTTATAAACAATTGCCCCTCAGTCCTTTCAGACCCTAGATCCTATTATTTCCATCCCTCATTGAAATATCCTGCGTAGAAGTTGTGTGAACCAGGAGAAGCACTACTTGTATATGGAAGCACTGTTCCTATGGAGCATCACTTCCAAGAGGTATGCGGTGCAGTTTTCCCTGGGCTTATAACAGCGCTCAAGTCTCTAAGCAATGTGGCAATCTCCTCTTTTAGAAATTGTGGACAACCATGCAATCCCTCAGCAACCACCAAAGTGCAGACATGCAAAAAGCATCAGTTCAGACTTTACAGTACAGCCTCGTACTAGTCTCATCTGTGTGCCTAGTTTGGAAATCTGAAGGTCGTGATCACAGTGCCAATATTCAGAACCTGACTGCGCCATTTCACCATAAAGGGTTGGGGCTTAAGTGCTGCGCAAGTGATGCTGCAGCGCTGTCTCTCGTGCTCTGTGCTGTGCGAGGGTGGATCGTCCTCCTGCTCCGATTAATCCGGGTCACTGGGGTCGGACGGCGTGGTGGTAATCTCCTCTCTGCCCCCCAGTCTTGCTGAGCAGCCTGACGTCCTGGATGACGATGTCGCGGGTGACGGCCTTGCACATGTCGTAGAGGGCGAGGGCAGCCAGGGAGGCAGCAGTCAGGGCCTCCATCTCCACGCCCGTGCGCCCGCTGGCCACGCAGGTCGCCGTGACGACGACGCGCCACCCCGGCTCCACCAGCTCCAGAGAAACGGCCACGCGGTCCAGCGGTATCGGGTGGCACAGCGGGATCAGGGCGCTGGTCTGCTTGGCGGCCATAATGCCGGCGATCTGCGCCACCGCCAGGGCGTCGCCCTTGGCCAGCTGGTTCTCCTTCACTAGCCAGAATGCCTTCTCTCCCAGGAGAACGGTAGCGCTGGCTGCAGCTGTGCGCCGACTGACAGGCTTCCCGCCCACATCCACCATGGAGGCCCGGCCCTGGGCATCAGTGTGGGTCAGGTGATCAGAAGGCCCATGCACCCCTGACGTGAGCAGCGCTCGTGGTCCTTCAGCATGTGGGACAGCCGGAGTGGGCGTGGCAAGACGTGGGTGTGTCCTGGTTTGGATCACATGTGCCCATCTGTGGATTTTCCTTTCAGTGCTGCAACAGAGCCACGGGAGTCCATTTTTGGCATTGCTATGCGTTTTGTGACAGAAGGGGCTCCTCACTGTCTTTCCTAAACAAGGGTTGACCTCTCTCCTTTTGCTAGGGCTTGCAGTAAAGATGGTGCGGATCTGACTTCTATTAAAAGGGCTTCTGTCTTCCTGGAGGTGAGCTCTCAGGCTGCTACTGTTTGTGCGTGTGCCTGACTCAGCTTTGTCAGTTTCCAGGCAGGAGAATCTGTGGCTTCCTGCTGTCAGATTGTCATAACCCCACCCTGCTGCGGCCAAAGCCTCTCTGCCAGCTTCACCGAGTCCAAGGTCTTTCCCAAAAGTCACGTCCTGGTTCCAGGAATACGTGTGAGAGTGAGTACCACTGTCTGGTACACGAGAAATTACCCAGAACTCTCCGGGGTGCCCAATTGCCCAATCCTCACAGTGTAGGAATTGCTTAGTGCAGAAACTATTGCTGTTAAGGCACCCAATGTCTGCCTTAACCATATGGTCTGTAATAGGGAGAGAGATCGGTGTGGTGAGCAATGCTGGGGATACTTGGTGGAAACAGGGGTACAGATGCAGTTGAACAGCTGCGGTCGGGTTGAATTCGGCAAGTGTTGACAGCGCCCCTTCGGAGCCTCGGAGACTGGAGACAGAGAAACAGTGCAGCACCAAGAGCCTTTGCATCCCAAGCCCTGAAAAAGAGAGAAACTTTTTTTTTAAGTCTGTGGTTTCGAATCAGTATACCACAATTCACACAGAGCCAGCCACAGGCACAAAGCCCTAAAATACTAAATTTCTTCATAGACCTATACATTGCATACACACACCTCAAAGACCAAGAAAAAACACTACAGTTGTGTCCAGCCAGAACAGGATGCACTTCTTTTCTATCCTCTGCTCTTTTTACCAGCCATCCAATTACTGCACCTCAGTAACCTCAGGGTGCTGCCCCAGGACACTTGCACTACCCCCTGCCATCCAGCTCCTTGCGCCTCCCATCACCCTCAACTATCTCTAACCCTGCAGCTGGACACACTCCCTGCTATATTCTTGCTATAGAAAACACAGAATTATTTAGCTCCTGGGCTCCCTCTAGGGGCCAGTGGTATCATGTGTCGAGGCCAACAGTCACATTTTCCAACACACGGCTCCAGCTCATTCCCTCTCCAGCCGGTGCTGGAGACCAAGTCCTTTCCTGCTTTGGCCTTCTGTCCCAGAACTAACGGGAACAGACAGAAGGTTCCCATTTACTCCCTTGGCACCACAGCCTACAGCAGACTAACGTTTGGGAGGCTGCCAGTCTTATAAACTCGACCAAAAAGGGTTCTTTCAATCTGCTGACTGCAGACAGCTGGACTGTGGCCTTTATCCCATTCTGGTCTGGTGTCGCCCCTTCGTTTTCCTTTTCTAGCCCTCTGTAAATTTCTCAACTTTTGCTTCCATCTACAGAAGCAAAGATGAAGCTTAGAATCGTGGGAGTTTACAGTTTATTAGCAGCAAGATTCATGATAACCTTTTCTTTTTAATATCAACTTGGCTGACATTTTTATCTAAAGCAACTAGTGCCCATTGATGCAGCTGGGTAATTTTGCTGATGCTATGATCAAGGGTACAACAGCTCTGTTTAAAGCTTATATTCGAACCCACAGCCAACCAGTTCTGAGCCCACATTCTTTACCACTCCTCCACACTCCTACCTCTTCACTGGAAACCCCATTTTACTATCACCGTGGTGTTAGGAGGGGTGCAACTGCAAGGAGTGATACTGGTGTTAATGATTTTCTTTTCCAAAAAACACTGGCATTGTTCTGGAACAATGCAGCAGTAAGGATGCTATTAAACAATCTCTATTGTGTGTAAGCTATAAGCCTCACACTTATTTGTCGTGTTTTATCAGACATGTAGGCAGCTGGAAATCTTATGAAATACTATAAAAAATAATACTAAGTTAAAAGGGAGAAGATGTCATTTGGCCCATCTGACAGGTTTTCAAAGCTTGTTTTGGGATGTGTATAACTCAAAACATCGTCAAAAAGAAATGCTTATTACATTACTTTATAGTTGTGGAAAGCTACCACTGACCTATGGGAAACTAAAACCCATGGGCAACATCCTTGAAAAGGAAATGTACAGCCACTGTCCTGCAACACCAGCTCAGATACAAAACCAAAAAGAGAGAAATAAGTACTTTATTAGCTAGCTTTCGCTAGATTGAAGAAATGTATTTTTCTTGTAGTTAGGACTAACTGAGAAATCTTGAAGTTGAATGCAGCCCGGACACCAAGGTCAGCACCACGCAAACACCTCAGAGTCAAGAACTCATCCAGGGGCCCGACGTGGGTGACGTTTGTCTGTCAGCAGCTCTGCCTCAGTTTCCCGAGAGCGAACCCAGAAGATCAGAGGGGGTTACGTACTGCTGTGTCACCCACCGATCAGGATCATGGGCCGGTTCTTCATCTGGGAGATGCTGAACATGCCTGGGAGACAGGGAAGACAGCAGAGTTACCCTCCCCTCTGCCCCAGGACACCATCGCTCCAAACACGGGCTGCAGGCCCAGCTGGTGAAGGACCACGGACCATAAAGCAGTACAGGCACGGTTCTTGTACACGGAAGACAAAGGAACACTTTCAGGATCAAACGTACAAGAAACATGCCAAGCATTTCACAGTCAACCCATTAAACTTGCACCTTAAAATAAATTGAACCATCAGCACAACGGTTCGCTTCACAGGAGTCCTGTTCTTCTCCAGAAGTTACCATTACAGAAGTGCACTGCACATAACAGTTGGACAGTAGGGAAACAGCTGGTGTATGAACAATCGGGTTCAGTTAAAGAGCCCTTAGCAGTAACTGAAATTCCGACTTCACTTATAAATCAACAGCTGTGCTCTTTTTGCTGGGAGTCCTAGTATAACCCGGGCCTGAGGTTATATAACTGAGATGTGTGACTGATTTCAATCACTGTGCCTGGAACGTTCATGCTGTGTTAATGCAGGACACAGTCAGCAGTGAAAGACTTGTTGATCACCTCTGCCATGTGTAACTGTGGGAGTGGGAGGAGCTGCGGCCAGCACCGGTATTTAGTTGAAGCTCCTACTGAGGGATGGAATAACTGGCGTGAGGTTAGCGAAAACCAAAAACACCAAAAAGGGGAAAAACAAGAACAAAAAGAAAAAAGAGAAATGCGCCGCTGTGCACTGCGACTTCAAGGCTGGGCTGACCCTATTTAACCGGGTCCAGTCTGGAAGGACAGGGAGCACAAAGCCAAAACAAAATAAAACCTCAACGTGTTAAAAAGATCAGCCTGCCCTGGTAGAGATGCATGATGGGACAGGCAAAAAGAAAAAAAAGAAAATGAAAAATGATGGCTTTACGCTCAGGTACAATCCCCTCAAGGACTGCCGGTGGCAGTTCCTCTCCTTCAGGGGGTGCTCAGTGTGTTTTTATAGAGCCTTCACAGCTGTGGCTTGTCCTTAATCAGCCAGGTCAGCTGTGGTTTCTAAGGCAACGCCTCCACACTGAACACGCCCCTGCGTGATCCCACACATGTGACTTTGACATGTTACAATCTCCATTTAGACTGAATTTTCACACAATACAAGAATTTAAGAATACACATTTAAGAATGCTTATTATGAGCTATACTACTCAGAATTTTCCCTTAGTTCTGTACCAGATTTGCACATCTCCCCAATTTGAACTAAATGATAACCCAAGAGGTTACCCCTCTAGGTATGGGGCCAATACGCTTGCTAGCATGTGGCAGTGTAAAAGGGCTCAGTGCACTCAGCCTGTCACCACAGTGATAGCATAACAAAGCTCACAGCAGTGTAGGGAGTGGCACTGTGCGTCTGTAAGCTCTCAAGTGTGCTAACCACTGGGCCTGCACTTGTGGCACCAGTACTGGAAACTGCCTGCCGATCTCACTCAGTGCGCTGCCCGTGTCGGTATCCAACTCCAACTGCGGCTGTACCTGCGTGCTGCTGCTTCTTCCTGCCCACCGCAGCGCCAATGATCTGCAGCAGCTCCTCCTCTGAGGCTCCTGAGCGCAGACAGTCCCTGAGAGACACCTCTGCATTACCAAACAGGCACACCTGAGGAGAGACACCAGGAACACCTTTCCGTCACCACACACTCACACCAGAGAGGGCACAATTTACCAGGAGACTCCAGGCAGGCAGCGCGGGGGCGTGTCGGGACACAGCGCAGAGAGGGAGGAGGCGGCGCAGAGAGAGGAGGAGGCAGGGTTACCTTGAGGTTGCCATCAGCAGTGACACGCAGCCGGTTGCAGGAGCCGCAGAAGTGCTCAGACATGGAGGTGATGAAGCCTACCTGCCCCTGGAACCCAGGGACCTTGAATATCTGAAGAGAAAAACCATTCCATCCCTTCAGCCGATACAGAGGGCACAAGGCAGGGTACACCCTGGATGGGACACCAGTCCATCACGAGGCACACACACCACCACACCACAGTCAATTTTCCCAGAAGCCAAATAACTTAATCAGCATGTCTTTTTTTTACTGTTGGAGGAAACCAGAGCCTGTGGAGGAAACTCACACAAACACGAAGAGAACTAACAATCCTCAGCACCCCATGTTCAGAATTGAACCCAGGGCCACAACACTGTGAGGAAGCAATGCTAAGCACTGTGCCACCATGCTGCCACTACTTACTATACAATTACATTAAATCAAATTCTAATCAAAATACTTAGACCCAAAAAATAAAAGACTTTGGCAGCATTATTGAGCCATTAATTCAAGCAGACACTGACAGACGAGAGCGATGGCACTAAAGATCCAAAGGACTGCGGTCTCACCTTGGCTGTGTCAGTCTCTCCAGCAGGCAGCTTCTCCAGATCAGGCCACCGTTGTCTGATTCGGTCGAGCATCTCCTGGTAACTCACCATCTTCCTGAAGTTCCACTTGTTGCCTGTTCCAACACAGCAGCAAAGGAAGGCTATTTACCTCCTGTACTCATAACTTGGGTAAGAAGAGTGCTATAGCTAATAAAGCTGGCTCCGAACTCCAAAACAAGCGCCGAACTTGCATAACCAAGTAATTAACTCCACACTAACTGAACCGGTCTATCAGCTTTCAACTCTATTTAAAGAAGGATAAGTGGAACAATTTCCACAGCTTACCATGTAAGGTATGTAGGGACTAATTGTGACAGGGAAAATAAAAGAATGGTGCAGACCTGCAGTTCCAGAAAGAGGAACGAGAAAGGGGAGAGAAGGGTACGCTGGAAACAGGGGAAGTGGCGTTTCACCGAGTGGAGAGAGCAGGCGCAACAGTCCAGCAGGGTGCACCACAGACTCGGTGACCAGGTCACTCACCGTCAAAGGGCATGTACTCGATGAATCGCACCTCCAGCGGCTTCTTCTCCGTCAGGGCCACAAAGTCCAGCAGCTCATCCTCATTGAGGCCCCGCATCACCACACAGTTCACCTGAGGGGACACAGGGCAGCGAAGCGCCGTTGGGCTCAGCACAGGGCATTCCGGGGCACAGGCCGCTTGCCCATTTCCCCCTGCCGTACAAGCCTTGGAAAGACCCCAGCTCTTTCCGGGCGTGCGCGGTGCTAACTGGAAACACCCTGCAGGGCAGACGTGCAAGAGGCCCTTGCTGACGGATTCTGGAGTCGGGGAGCTGGGGTTCATTCACAACCCATACTGTGACGAGTAGCTGCATTCATACTCAGCTAAGAGACTAGCTTCTCATCAGACAGACCGAGACACAGCGGCAACACACAGGCTGGAACAGGGTACGAGGACCTAACCGTCAGCCTAATTCCTAGTTATTTAGGACATAAGGATGGTTACAAATGAGAGGCTATTAAGCTCTTCTAGTTAGCCTTTTTGGCATTTAAGTAATTGATCCCAGGATCTCACCCAGTTGTTTCTGGAAAGAAAACGGAATGCCAGCTTCAACAACGTGGCTGGGTTACTTGTTTCACACTCCCACCACCCTTTATGTAAAAGAAGTGTCTCCTGTTCTCTCTTTTAGCTCAAACTCAGCTGTTTAGCCTTTTATAAATTAGGAAACAACATGCACTGCTCATCTTACTATGGTGAAAGATTCAGAAATCATTACATTCCAGCTCTGCTCACAGTTTACTTTGTGAACTGTTATACTGTAACTGCAAATTTCATGGTGTTTGCACAGTGAATGGCCTCTTGGCATATCTGGACCTTGATCCCTTAATAAAACATGAGCCTGTGAGCAGATTTTTCTAAAGCAGTTCAAGTAGGACAACAGCAGGAGAACAGCACATCCTTCAGGAATGCTGCCAAACACATGCAGCATTCCATCATGGACTACAGACGTTTCTGTGGAAATACAGCATTTGGCTGAACAAGAGTTTAGAAAAGAATGATTTCCTTTTCTAAAAAATTCTTGTGAACACTTTTTTTTCTTTGTGACAGAATTTTGTATTTCTCTTGGGGGGAAAAAAAGCCAGGGTGATAACACATTTTTTTTTAAATATGCTTCACCTTGTTGGTATGCATGAAACCTGCCCATGGTCAGATCATGTCTTACCTTCACAGGGTTGTAGCCCAGCTCAATGGCCTTATCGATACCTTCCATCACCTTGTGGAAACCTAATGGAAAGTTTTTGCATTAGCAGGAACAGGCAGCTTTCCTAGGTACAGTTCTTATGAAATACATCTTCTAAGGAGCTTACAGGAAATAATTAGTCATGATAAATGTCACACGTTTGTACTGTTTGAAATACTGCACAGAAATGTAAGTTTCTTTAGAAATCTAGAACAGAAAAAAATACTGTATTTTGAGAACTTTCTATTCAGGTGACAGAGTTGAGTAGTTACAAACCGGGTGACAAATCCAAAATTAAAAAATGAATTGGATTTGTACTCTGTTTCAGAACTCCTGGTCCTGGAGGGAACTCTTTGTGGTTATCTGAAATGACTGCTTTACTCACAAGTTACAAGTTACCTCTTATAGAGCCTGACATGTGGGTTCAGTCCTTACCTGGCCTGAGTATGTGGCATTTCAAGAATAACTGAAAGGCGGGGATAACCTTATCAGAAATAAAGCACGGGTAGATGGAATTATTTAGCATACTGTAGGCCAAATGCACATGAAATGATCACTTCTAAACACCCCTTCATGGCAATAACAGAGGGTGACTGGAGCTGTACTCAGACTGTAAAATTTCCTGAAAACTGCTTGGATTCAGAGCACCAGAGGGGATACCATCTTCAGGGGGGTTTACTGGAAATATACTTTTTTGTATCAAATTAAAACTCATTTCCAACCTTTGCTGGACTGCTCTGTGGCTTCTTATATCCTCTACACCTACTGTATTAAACCTTAACCCTTCAGGACCCGAGGTGAATATTGTTAGATTAGGAGATATGGCTTGATTAAGGGATAGCCCTTTTCCACACGTAGAACTGGGATCGTCCCTCACAAACATCAAAGATGTCATTCAGACATTCAGTCTTGATTTTGACATTCTGTTCCATTGAGTCTTCACAATGGAAAACGAATACCTATTCAACTTATCTGCAGCAGAAGCAGCTAAATAATTAAGAGTCAATTAAGTAATTAAAGCACAGGTTGGCCCACAGTACTGCAATAGCACAGGCTGCTGAAAATCTGAAATCACGTGTCCCTGATTAATAACAGATCATAAACACAAAACTTCCACACACTGGATTTTAAATTGAGTTGTCTTTCAAACACTTGCGCACATTGTGCAGAACCTGGATGGTGCAATGGTCACCAGTTCTGCCTTACAGCTCTAGTGTATTAGGCGTGATTGCAGCTCGGGACAACTTTGTATGAAGGTCATTCATGAGTTGTTTTTTTTGCTGGGGGATCTAGTAACCTCTTATCTTTCAAAGGCATGTTACATTTCAGTGGCTACTCTTATTCCTTCCTCTCTGGGTGTGAAGGGGGTGTTTTCCCAGTACAACCAGTGCATAAAAGAACCAAAAGAGCTCGACAGGCATTCAGGTGAACTGCTGTTATGCTGCAGTATTTCAAGAATATCAAGATGGGAGATTCAGGTAGTGGCTGGTAGGCTATACTGATTGTGGAAGATTTACCTTACTCTTGAAACCACTTAAAATTCAGGTTCCCTGGCAGACGGAGACCTTCATATTTGATGGGTATATTATGAAGGGCAACTCCAAGCCATTAAATGCACAATAAAAATTCCACGCCCTGCTTTAAAACCGATAGTGGTCTGAGACATCTGTTTGCATACCCTTTCGAAGCCATCTTACGAGCCACCACACCAACTGAACTGAAATGTTTCAGATCCCAGCAAAAAGCACCTGAAAGATGCTAAGCTAATTTGTATGTCCACAACACCTCATAAACAGTTTTGAGAAGCACAGCCCATCATAAATTGAGCATGTTCAATTAAAAAAAAAAACCTCAAACTACACAAGTACAATTCCAGGTATTACATGGTGCCCTGTAAAAGTATAAGTACTTTGAGGGCACCATGTAATTTGCATCTGTAATCATGAGATGAACAGGAAAATAAGTATACAGTTATTTACATTATTTTTAATTCCATGTATACATCATATCATAAAATTATACTTTATTTTCAACATAGAAATTTCAAGTAACCATACATTTAGGAACACATTCACTTTAAAGAGTGTAAAAGATGTTGAAATATTTGCATGAAGTCTGTAACCCAATGAGCTCATCAAACCTTGTGTAACTTTTTCCAAGATGCTACTTTGAATCCTTGTCTAACATTCAATCGGATCATTCACTTTTGCCTTAATTTAACTCCAGACCCTGGAGTTTATAATTCACAAACCTGAGGTGATTGCAGGGATGACCGCCACAATGCCAGGCCGGAACAATTGCCGTTTGTGCTTCTCCGCGTGGCACACGCAACGTGGGCTCTGCTCCCCGAACCAGTGTTTGTGGACCAGAGGGAAGGCTCACCTTTCCGGCGCACGATGAACTCAAACTTGGCGGGCACCAGGGAGTCCAGGCTGATGTTGAGGAGGTCCAGGCCAGCCTCCTTCAAGCTGGGCAGCAGCCGTGCCAGGTTCATGCCGTTCGTTGTCACGGCGATAGTCTTCAGGCCTTGCAGTTTGCGCAGTTCAGCTGCAGGGGGAGTGAAAGAGACGAAGGGCCCTAAGAGCCTGGACCCTGTAGCTCTCACTCTGGTCACGTGACCTTGCCAAAAAGTGTTATTCCTCTAAGTTCAACCATTTAAGGAAAAAAAACATATTTACAGGTTAACTATTTTAAGATTCAATTACAAAGAGGACTTACAAGCAGGATATTCCCAGGGTCCAAGAATCATTGAGCAAACAATGAACTGTATGCCATCTTTCTAAAACACCATGGTGACTTTGATAAAGCCAGGCAGTATGTCTGCACATTGTGACGCGCACAGACAGTAAAGTCTGCAATGTCTGTGGACTGGAGAGTGGAGGAGGGAGAGCGTGCCTTTGTGAAGCAGGGGTGAGGGGAGGCAGACACTAAAAGCATTTGCAGAATATTTTTCATGACAACGCAATTAATGCAGGTTTTTGAACTTTTCCCTAACTGATATGAACGTAGTGGCAGCACCCGCATTTTGTACTCTCAGGGTCCAGCTGCGATTCAGAGCTTTGAATTCAAACAAGTGCTCCTTCTATTACAAACCCTGAGATAATTAAAGGAAGTCATTCTTGACAAAACTGGACATACAGTACTTGAACACAGGACCTTTCCTCAGTGAAAGACTCAGGTATTGAACCCTACCACTCCTGTGAAAAGCACGAGTTTTGGGGGAGTGGTGTGAAATTTGATATTTTTGCAGTGTACTACTGAAATTTGTAATGCAGATAAAAAAAACAGAATGTCAACGCTTGTTTCTGGGTATTATTTTGGATATTTAGTCATGTTAGAACAATGTTATCCCGTTGTGTTCAATCCCCCCATTACAGGTGAGCTTAAGTGTTCGGACACGTACATGGTTTTACAACAATTTAATAATTGTATAAAGCAATATGATATACAATATATAAACAAGTAATAGTGTTTTCCCATATTAGAAATGTATCAAACAAGGCAACAGGCTTGCAGCCTGGGGCCCTGTGTCAATCCCTGGGTTGCTATCTGTATGAAATGTTTATGCTCTCTGTTTTTATTTACATTTCCTCCGGTTTCCTCTCGCAGTCCAAAGACACACTAGTACATTCATTTTCTGGGAAAACTGGCCCTGGTGTGAGTGTGTGTCTCTGTCTGTGCCCTGCGATGGACTGTCATCCCAGGGTGTATTTTTGTCCTCCGCCCTTTGCTTGCTGGGATGGGCTCCAGCTCCCCTGCGAATGGATGGACATTACTTGAGGACTGGTGTCACTCTCAACACTAAGGAACACGCTAGTCTGATATAAAAATAGGCTGGTTTTAAAAATAAATTACTCTAAAAACAAAATAAAGTCTTTCACCATCCTCAGAGGTCTTTTTAATCATCCCACATGTGTACTGAAATAAATATTGCAGCTGCTGTAATGACTCAAGAAGTGCAGTTCTCTCAAGTGTTTGCCCACGTTTCTCTTAAAGCAAGCAAATGGATTTGTATCAAGACCACTTTTGTAAAAATGTGCATTTGAATGCAATATTCCAAATTCTGAATTTGATAACCTGTTTTTGAAGTACCTGTATGTTACGTCTCGATTTTGAGCATTTCATTTCCATTTGTCTAATACCAGATATCCGATTATTCCTGGTAAGAGTCATGCAAAAAGTGACCCACAGACTTTCTCAAATCAACTCAAAATCCAGCATGAACGTCAGCAGCAGAAACAGAAGTTACAGAAACAGCTAATGTTGATTTGAGATCATAAACCCTGGACAGTAGTGCAAGTGTTGTCCCCTTTCACTGAATTATCTCACTTCAGCTTTCATGTCACTTTTCTGAGTCTTTAATGGTTGACAATAAGGAGAACTCTATTGCGACACAAACCCAGCCCACTGCAGCTCATCTCTCACCCCAATCACCTGCTTTCACCTCTCTATCCTTCTCCTTACTTTCAATTTCAGTCTTTCATCTTTTTAAAATGTTATTTATCCCACAGTAACATTTATTTTATATCTTTTGCCACTTCAATAAAGTTGCTGGATCGTGGACATAACCTTTACATGTTTTATCCCATACAACTTTCTATCAAAGAATGATATAGATTACCCAGAGCTTCAATATTTTAAATCTTTTAGCCATGACAAAAGGATATTCATCCATTCATGTATTTATTTTCTAACCCCTTTATCCAATTCAGGGTCCCAGGGAGCCAGAGCCTATCACGGCAAGCAACAGGTGCAAGGCAGAAATTACCCTAGATGGACACCAATCCATCGGAGGGGGAAGAATGTTTGATACTGATATGTTTCTTCCTTTTTTTTTCCCTCACACGTCTCCCAGAGCTACAGGGCAGATCTGCCCTGCAGAGTGGTGGACAGCCACAGTGACAAGAACCCTCCCCTGCCAACAGCCACATTAACAAAAAGCCCATTAGTTCTATATCATCATGCTCAAAGAATTTATTAAACAACTTGTGTCGAAGCCCATTTCACCTGGGAACTCTACAGAGGACTTACTGTGAACTGAATGCAGATCAAAAGGCATTTTTAAGAAGCCATGGAGAATTATTTGTTGTGGTCTCCTAAGCATGAATTTTTATTACTGTACTTCTAAATCGGTGTCAAAACTGGGATCAGCAAGTCACCTGAAACCTAACAGAGCAAGACAAGGTATTTGGAGCAAAGTCTTGGTTTGACGAGAAGTGTTGTGATGTTGGAGTAAAGTTCACCTTTTATTTGCAGAGGAAAGATGTGCATTTGCATCGCCAAGAGCATAGATAGCATCTACAAAAAGAGCTGGCACCTGGAGCAGGGCTACCCAACAACTGCTTAGGTGAACACTGTTTACTGAGCCTTGCAGACAGCACAACTCTTTCATGTTATCATCATTTCATCAATAACCACTCTCAAACCATCATTAGCATTTTGTTTTTTTTTAACTAAAACAGATTAGGATTAAGTGTTCATGAGGACCCTAACCCTACAACACCCTTCGATCTCTAAGGTGACAGTATGCTTTGTACTCAAGGAAGTCTCCAGTCATGATGACTACTCATACCAATGGATCCAGGCTTCTGAGGTTGAGAGAGTGGGACTACCCCAGTGCAACGACTTTCCCACTTCAAAAAGCTCTACCACACTGGTTTCTTTGTGCAGCTCATCTTGCAAACAGATGACCCGCACAAAGTACAATCGTCATCGTGGGACATGACAGACAATCATCATACTTTAAACTGGGCACAAAATAAATCTGTGATGTGTGTCACTGTTTGTCCAGCTTACACCTAATTATTATGATACCTAATAATTATTATAGCCTGATTTTTGTTTTACTCCAATTTATTTCGCCTTGTACCTGCACAATTGCTCCTTGTAGTTATACAGTGCATTTTGTAGATCATTGTAAGCCAACCTGGATAAGGACATCTGCTAAGCACTTCTAATTATTGAGAGAGCCAAGCATGAAAGCAGGAGGGAGCAGGGAAGGGCGACATGAGTATACAGATCCAAAAGGAATCACTTCATTGTTAAAGATGCATGCTGACTTTGCCTTAAGATATACAGTGATATGAAAAAGAAAGCACACCCCATAATGATTCTGTTTTAAATATTAAGACATAACTTTGTCCTCACCAGTCTCTAGCAGTAGATAAATCTAACCTCATGTCCCAGATAATAATAAAATTTACTTTATCATTATTCATTAAAATAAATCAGCCAACATTCAGAATCCTCATGTAAGTGCACCCTTTCTGCTTCCATATCGGTCAAGAAGGTAATTGGAATCAGGAGATGCTAAACAAGTGCACATGATTAGTTGTGTGATCAAGCTCTCCATGTATAAGTAACATGACCCACACTTTCATGTTTTGAGATAAGGCCATAAGGTACAACTATGACTGCTGTACTGCAAGAAGGCATGGTAATCATACGCAATAGCTCATCATACATAATTGCATAAATGAGAAAGGCTACAGAACAGCTCTACGCTGCTGTTAGCCATGGTTGTAAATGACAATTGCCAAAAATAAGGCGACAGGTTCCGACTCAGGCAGTACCTTCATCTCTCCAAAGACTTCTGAGATGCAGGCTCCTATAAAAGTTATTCTGGCTTTTGTTCGGAAAATGTGTAGTGTGACGCATTTTTGAATTCACCCATCCTCTAGCACAGATTAGCAAAATTGCTTAGACTTCTCTTCTTTCCGAGTTTTGATTACTGGCACATGGAAAGAATATCAAAAGAGAATTCCTCAATGCACATAGCCGTACAGTTGATGAGGACTGCTGCATTTTAAAATCTGATGGTCTTTATTGGCATCAAGGCACAATTAGTGTCATTGTAAGATATTTAAAACGTGGATTCTAGGACACCGAGAACTTGCTCAATGGGCACAGAAATGTGGCTGACCTTAAACAAAACAATACAACTTCAGAATTCACTGGTGTTCAATTCAACACTATGCTAGACTAACAGAATTGGCTTGGATGAGCAGGGGTCAAAACAGACATGCTCTGGTCTAGAACTACACAATCTGCTTTGTTCAGGATCACTCCCAAACAATCATACATCAGCAGACCGGTAATCAATTTAGAACAGGTGTCTCCAATCCTGGTCCTAATCCAGTCTTACAGGCCATCTGTTTCTAAGGATTGGCAACATTTACAAGCTACTGATGAATTAATCAAGCAATCTGTTTAATTAAGAGAATTCTAGTCCTTGAGGACAGTACTTAGATTTCAGTCCTAAACGATGTCGCAATTGCTTGATTGAACAAATCACCTGTGGAACTGATCGCAGTGGAATTGTTCCAATGTCTTCAGAAACGGGTGATTTAATGCTGACCAACGACGTGCTGGATTGCGACGCTCCAGGACCAAGGCTGGAGACGCCTGTCTTAGAAACAATGTTCTCCCTTTCAGAGAGGCAGACAGAGGAGAGGTACAGAAGATCCCGAAAGGCCAGATGTGCCCGCAGCGCGCTCGGGGGACCGTGGTCCTCCCCGACACCGAGCAATGAAAGACCTCCGTGTCCCGTCACCGTCCCACAACACCACTACCCACAGACTCCGAGAAAGCTCCCCACCCCCCTCTCACCCACGACGTGGACGACATCGGGGCGGATGAGCGGCTCCCCTCCGGTGAGGCGGATCTTCTCCACGCCCTCCTGCACGAAGAGCCGGGCCAGGGCCAGCACCTCGGCCGTGGACAGCAGCTGCGAGCGGGGCGTCAGCTTCACCCCCTCCTCGGGCATGCAGTACTGACCTGCGGGGCGAGCGAGACCGTCACCGGAGCCCACTGCCTGCCTTCAATACTCTGGACTCCGCATGCTGCCCCTTCCTTTGCCCCAACACGGCGCAAGGGGAGCTACGCTGCTTTCATCTCAGCTCATGCGCAAGATTAAAAGGAATTCTGTCTAAATGGCTACTTGTTTTTGTCTTTTCCAGGTTTTTAATACAGACTGGCAGTGAACAAGGAATGATTCCCAGTCAGCTGGGAGATCCGAGACTGATTTCAAAGCTCCGGAAACCCCTGGAGACTTGGAAGTAATTAGCTGCCCATTCTGATCAGAAAGCTAAACAATAATAAGGGCTGCCCATCACCTCCTGAAGCACAGAGGAAAACGGACAGCTCTGCTCAAGTCTCCTTCTTGCTGTACAAAACCCCGCAGAGCCAAAACAATAGACCCCAGGGCTTTGAAGTCTGGAGTCTTTTCATCCATGGCAGGTCGAAATTGACAAGGAAAAATCACTCACTCTCTTTGCTATTAAGAGTCCGATTCTCTGTTCGTTTTCATCCTGCCTCTCTCCTTCCCTCTCCGACCCCTGTTTGTCCCCCCACAATCACAATCCCATTACCCCTACTGCACACAGGGATACCCCCAGGAGAAACTGGCTAAAGTCCTCACTGTTTAGTCAGTAAAAGACTCCTGGTCACCTGATCACATTCTACAGCCTACTAGAACTCCAGGGGATTCATGTGTGGGCTGAAACACTGGTATAGACGAAACACTGCTACTGTGCGGCTCTTCATATGCAACATGCAGGCAGCTATTATGGAGTCTGGAATCAACAGAGCAGAGCTTAATGCTGTTCATTTACAGCTCACTTACACCGCAGGTTGCACTTCTCGGTCAGAGAGATGCGCAGGTATCTGTGCTGCCGGCCAAAGCGGTCTGTCAGGAAGGCTGAGAAGGGCTGGGGGTCTTCCGACAGCTCCCTACTCCGACCACCAGGGGGCGCCAGCTCCTAATCCAGAACATAAGGCAGGAAGAAAGTCAGGAATATATCCCCCGATATTCTTTAATGCTTTGTTCTTTTCAACACAGAACTGCCTACCTGAGTTTTTTGTAACTTGTCGGAATAGGGGAAAACAGGATATTGCAACCTGTGCCTTCTGGTAAAAGAGATGATGATGCACAGAACAGCCAATTACTTTATCATACAGGGCAGGAATTAATCTATGCGCAGTGTTGGAGATTAGATGTCTGTATATTACATCTCTGTAATGTACTCTTTTTAATCAACGATTACTTTAATGCAAAAGAATACTGTATACACTCAACGCTTTTTAGAAGAAAGAAACAATGCTGGGTGGTTGTAAAGAGAAAAGCATGCCTCCTGAACCATGAGAGAGGGGGTGGGGCAGTATGTCTTATTTTATGTAATCTGCTAGGCTCTGTGGGACAGGGCAAGGCAGTACAGCTGGCTTGGCTACACCGTCGAGTGCAGAAAGCACTGACACACAGGCCCCAAGACAGACTGCACAGACACCCTGTGACCAAAGATGCATCAGCAATAAATGAATAAAACTGTGATTTAGCTTTGTTTTACTTCATTTCTCCTGCAGCCCCTGCACTGTGATCTTGATCACTGTGAACTGTGATCAGAATCCTGCCAGCTCGGGCTTAGAAGGTGTAAAGGATGTATTGCACAATCCACCGTGTTGCACGGAACATGATCTACCCTGCTTTCCGACTGACATCTTTATGCAAAGAGTGGTGGGAGTGTGGAGCAAGCTGCCCAACCATGTTGTTGAATCTGATACCCTGGCTTCTCTCAAGAAACGGCTGGATGAGATCATTGACTCAATTGCTTAACTACCAAATGAGCTAGATGAGCTATATGGCATCCTCTCATCTGTAACCTCCTATTTTCTGATAGTTAAGTCATCAATGTAGAAGAACAAGACTGCAGTAAAACCAGAAACGTCTATTTTAATTAGTCATCAAAGCTGAAATTATGTAAACGCTCTACATCACTTTGCAGAATCCACCTCTGTCCAGCCCAGGACTGTGAAGTCTTCAGAGCTTTGATCGGTCAGGCAGGACAGCCATAATGCCGATTTTAATCTGCTTACCTTGAGAGCTGATACAGCAAAAAGCCTGGCAGTGTCCATTAAACAAAGACACATTCAATGTGGGAAATGCAACTTTTACATTAATTGACAGGGTTTAGGTCAGCCTAGGTGCTACACAAATGACTTTTGACACATTAAAAGCGACCTCCATGGCTCATTTCATGCAGCCTTCTTGTCTCAGTTTGTGTCTGATCTCGGAAGCATAGCTGCCCATGGTCAGTATCAGGAACGGAGACGACCTTCAGTAAAAAAAAACTGACTGTTGCTGGAGGCAGGGCTGTTCCTCTTCCTGCGGGATCAGATTTTTTTAGCCGATGACCCAGAATAGTGACCAGGGATATCTTGCTATAGGAGACGATATCCTTTGGATTAAAATGCTAAACTGAAGCCCTGACTACTTGGTCATTAAAAGACCCCTGTTCACCACTGGCCATTTCTAAACAAAATGATCCCAATTACATTCAACAGTCCACTTTTAACCCCAGGAGAATAGTTTCTGGAATAAATCTAGACAGGTATAGATTAAACACTGCTACTGTGCAGCTCTTAATACGCAACATGCAGACAGCTATTATGAAGTCCTGAATCAACGGAGCAGAGCTAAATGCAGTACTTGACAGCCACTGACAAAAATCCATATTTGAGTAGAAAAGATTAAGGATAACGAGCGAGGAAGGATGAACAGCATACAGTAAGTCTAAAATACAATGCAAAAGGGGTGATTTTTAAAACCAGTTGCGGGGGTAGCACTTTCAGCTTTAAGAAATGCTACCCACACTGATCCGTCTACAAAATCCCCTACTCACCGTAATTCAATTATGAGTGGGCTGCAGCATGCAGACCATATATGGATCACAATGAAATTAAAGCTTTAGACTATAATTTATCTAGTAAGAGAAAACCAACAAAATACTTGGATAGACAGTGACAGCTATTACTATTACTACTGCCTTATAATGACAAATGAGCAGATTAACAAATCATTGGTGTCAATAATCACTCCAGTTCAGACAACACCAGTGTTATACCACATATACTGTATCCAAAGCAAAACAAAACTGATAACACTCCCAGTGAAAATATTCCCCATTGGTCCAATACAAAAATCTGCTGATCTGTCCAAACTGAAATGGAGAGAGATGCTCATGTTTTAACCTGCCAAGGTACAGACGAGCATGATGGATTATTATAGGGTGGTAAGGAACAGCCCCCGTGCCTTGTGTGTCTAGACGATAGGTGCAGAAGGACGCACAGCCCAGTCCCCACAGTAAGCCACGTCCTCACACTCCGTCACCCAGCCGCTTGGCTTAGCCACTTCCTCAATGGTGAAAAACTGTCCACAAGAAAACAAGCAGGTACTGTACAACAATGGCTGCCCCAGCAGGATAAGTGGAACAGAGCGTCTACTTTCTGTTTGCTCCCTGTGTATACCCTCAGCCTTGTCCAATTCCTCGGGCGGGGGGTTTGACAGTCCTGCTTGCTTTCGCCAATGTAATCTCATTTTTCCGGCTTCCCCAGAAATGAGACGGAAAGGTTTTCATTTGCCATCTGTTCATGTTAAAAAGGGTCTGTTTCACAGGGCTTGGAAACAGGTTGCACTCTTTCAGCGTGAACAGTTTCTAAGGATATCTACCCAACATGACGTCAGGTTGCTGTCCTCGTGAAAGCTCCGACACAGCTAAGCTCTGAAGGATGCCTCAAGGGATATTACAAAAAGCTCAGTATTTCGTAAAAACCACATCAAGGGATATTTATCAAGGGGCACGTAAATTTAAATCTCAGAGATATCCCATCGGGAAGGGGAGGCAAAGAAAAGCTGCATCCCCGTCCAGCTCCTGAAATCTCTGGTCTGGAAAGAACATCCCACCCCTTGAGGACACTGGGTGCAGGGTGTAGGAGTGGCGCTCACAATGAAAGGGGGCTCTCTGATTGGCTGGCCTACTGAGCTACAGTGATGGGGGCGCAGAACAAGAGAGTCTGCCTGCACCTGGCTTCACGCATGCACGGCACAAGGGCGAGAAACCGTGTGCAGGTTGACGTGGCAGGTCTCAAGAGCCCTGGAACGAAGCACACGCATAGCCTGCCCTAGGAAAGGCAAACTGACTGTGATGATCACAGATGGTGAAGAGTCTGCATACAGGGAGGAGGCTGAAACCCTGGCAGCATGGTGCCAGGAGAACAACCTCTCTCTGAACATCAGTAAGACTAAGGAGATGATTGTGGACTATAGGAAACACCAGGAAGGACATCATACCCATCTATATCAATGGGACTTCAGTGGAGAGGGTCAGCAGTTTTAAGTTCCTGGGAGTTAACATCACAGAGGACTTAACCTGCACCCACCAAACCAACATCATGGTCAAAACAGCACGGCAGCACCTATTCTTTCTCCGCAGGCTAAAGACGTTCGGATATACAGTATGGACATATATCCAGGCAAGCTTCTACAGGTGCACTATTGTGAGCATCCCGACTGGTTGCATCACTGCCTGGTATGGGAACTGCTCTGCCCGGGATCGCAAAGTACTGCAGAGGGTGGTGAAGTCAGCGCAGCTCATTACCGGCTGTGAGCTACCGAACATCCAGGATATCTACTCGGCTAGATGTCTGAAGAAAGCCAGGTCCATACTCTAGGAACCCAGTGATCCCAGTCACAAACTGTTTTCCCTCCTACAATCCGGTTAACAGCACCAAAGCATTCGGTCAAAGTCCAACAGACTACAGAACAGCTTCTACCTCCAGGCAATAAGACTGCTAAATAGCCAACCTGCCACTTCTTCAGCAAATCACCCATAATGGCTAATGTACATGGACATACAGTTTTCACTGTATTCGGAATACTGGACTACTAGGACATAATATATTGCATACACCCTGGACATACAGCAGCTCTACTTATATTGAGTTTTGTCTGAGCTTATTTTATTCAATTTCTATTACATTATTTTCTATTATTTTGTAACCTTAATTTTGTGATTTTTCTCCCCCCCCCGGGGACCTTGTAGAAAAGACATTTAATTGCCAGCAACGACTGCTGCATGCTGCATTTTTGTGCATTTGATAAACAAACTTTGATTGACTGATGAGACCATCTCTTCCTTAATTTAAACAATCTTTAGCCTACCCCTGCAGTGTACAGCCTGGGACATTAGTACCATTCCAGATCTTTTGCTGTTATTTTTAAGCCAGTCGGTCTGCAAACGCTTATCTGGACACGACACTGTTACTTTAATTAAACTCGGGACACTCCCCAAGTTTAGGCAGGAAGGTTTAGGCCTGTGGGATTGAAAGCTTCGTCTATCAAAAATCAGTCCAATAAAATGCACTATATCCAAGTGCAGATGTTGAGGTAGGAAGGGAAACTTCAATCATGCAATGCTTTTATTTGACAAAACTTTTAACATAGGATTCACCTAGCACCTCCTTATTTTAATACACTCCTGCATACACTGCCTTTAAAACCAAAACTCTGTGATCCATTATAAATATAAAGTGCATTATAAAAACAAAATACAACAGAAATCCATCTCTGGTCTATTCGGAAAAGTCACTAAAGTGCTTGTCGACATTGCATTTGTGTAACAGGGGACGCTTCTGACTGAGGGGCTCCCATCTACCTGTGCCTCATAAATATCCAGCTCTTTCATCCTTTTTAAATCCGTCTGTCATTTTATTTACATATAAGAAATTACAATTCCCTTTTAAAATTACATGCAGGCAGAATGACTTTAAATAAATGAAAAGGGTATCTTGGAAATGAAAGCTTGCGCTATTGGGTGATTCCAGAGCTGGAACTGATGAACCCCAGTTCAGATTCTTACAAAAACCTTGTTAAACACAATGCTGCTGCAAAGCAATGAAATGATCCAAACAATTAATGCAAAAGACTACATGAATCCATAAATCAGGCTCGGAAAAGAAAAACTGATACTTGAAGATACGTTTTTAGTAGTAGTACTTAAATACTAGTTAGTTCCAACACTAGCTTTCACAGAAGCAATTCAATAGTTAAATAATAAAACGCCCCCAGCTGGTCAGTGAATACAGTCTGTTACAGGGCTTATTGAAAATTTCCCATGAAAAAGAAATCGGGTCAAGTCTTCACTCTTAAATGGCACTCAAAGGCAAAACCTGTGGTCTATGCAACCAAATAGACAAGAGTGATAAACTCTACCTGGTAAATTTAAAAAAGGGCTGCAATTTATTCCAATGCCATCAGTACTCAAATACCAGGACAGGTAAAAATTTTAATCAGGTTTCTGATTATCCAAGTGCTGATGTGCACAACTGAATTCTCCTTCACTGTAAATACAAATACAGGTAAACCCCCTATACAACACAGAGTGAATCTGAATGCATATTCAATTTGACTCCCTTTCTCATCTGCTGTGTGTTAATGGACTGTTCCCCAGCACTGTAAACCTCCAAACCTACACAGAAACAGTTAGGGATTCACTGATGAGGCCACCTCACAGCCCGGGCTATCGGCACATAGCCATCACAAAGACCCCCTTGTTAAGAAAGGTTCTGCATAACAGGGATGATGAGAATTTGGATGGAATGTCAGATTGATATGGTTACATTAAGAAGCTCTTGAACAAAATCCATGAAAGTGCTTTTCATGTGATCTGAACAGACTAAAATGAACACTATGACAGCAAAAGGGCTGTTTCCCAACAAGGATCAACCTGCATTTTGCATCGTTAAAGGAAATGCAGAATCATATGACAGACAAGGCAGTGACTGGCATTCTCAGCTGAAAAGAACTATCTGGTTGTTAAAGCAATCCATGCAGAAATCAATTTAGCATTTACTGCTAAGGCAGATAAAAAGCTATAGGAGCATCTTCTGTGGACTGACAACCGACACATTCCCACATTCTTCAGAAGAGCGTTTCTACGTTTTAGAACTGCCGTGGTGACCTGAGTTAGTTCTGCAAAGAAGAGAGAACCAACTCTTAAAAGTGTGCTGTGAACAGCTCCTGAAAGTAGTTGTGTAACATGTCCACAACTTCTTACAAACTGCATTCAGTAAACAAGAATTAAAAGGAATCTTTAAAAAAATAAGACAACCATGAAAATGCCAAAGGAACATTTTACAAAACAATAAGGAACACATTACAATCTAAAATAAACCGAATAGCTTGCTATAATACAGAAACCAAGGTGTCTTGCAGCAACTGGCACAAACTGCCCAACTAAGAGGACAATGACATTTGAGGAACAGCTTTCCAGTGCTGTTAGCTTCAAAAGTTCAAAAGCAAACTGCTTATTCCTGGTTGAGAATTGCAGAACAATCACAAACAAACACTAGAAATACATTTTAGACCGTTTTTAGTGGATTAGCCCTTGCAGTACTAGTGGCGATCTGTTTGCCTGGAGGTCTCATAACATTTATTTAACTGAAGAGCAGAATTATTTACTGCATAGTGAACATGCATGTTTTTAAGGCACTAAGTGGGATTTCTCTACCACAGCTACAGTAGGAAAGACTGGAAACAAGCCATCTAGAGCTTGTCCATGTCCCACCTGAACTGTATCGCCATCACTCTACTGGAGCTGGATAGTTCTTCAAACACACTGCAGAAGAAAACAGGCTGAGCTCATTTTTCTTATCTTATGTATGCAAATGCTGAATAACTGAAAAAGGAAAGGGCTAACCTCTACATTAAGTAAGAGCTGTCGCTCCAGCAACGTGAAGACGCATGTGTAAAGATGAATTTGAAGACAAAGGCAGACTGTTAACTCGCAGAAGAATGACAAGAGGCAGTGAAGAAATAAAGGGCCATCTTCTCTTACTTCTAGGTGAGATGCTTTCCCCATAAGACCGGTTCAACGGTGAATTTTAAATCGCACCACACCCAGAAATTACTTTAATTAGGCAGATGCACATGAACTCATACCGATACTTCTTTTTTTTTTCATAGTTCATTAATGTCAACAGTTTCCGGCTGTGGTTTGCGTGTCTGGGTCTGCCCTCATGAGTGAGAGAGAGTGTTTTTGCGATGGAATGGTGTCCTCCCTGGGACAGGCTTGCCGGCGCAGGCTCCGGCTCCCCCCACCCAGCTCCTGAACTGGATAAAGCAGTTGGAAAATGGAAGAAAGGATGTTTGTCCTTCCAAAGCACAGTCTGGGCCAAGTTCCTCCTGAAGGAACTGCTGTGATTCTGTGCGAAATAAACTCCCGAACATTTTTAAAAACAAGTAATAGGTTTATTCCATGCTGGAAAAAAAAAAGAAGAAAGAAAACGCAATGTTTCGGCCGTGGAGCCTTCTTCAGGTGTTCTTTTATTGCTCACACCTGAAGAAGGCTCCACGGCCGAAACGTTGCGTTTTCTTTCTTCTTTTTTTTCCAGCATGGAATAAACCTACTACTTGTTCCTTTGCAGCCTACGCATGCTGACGCAGCTACCCACCTGAATTTTTAAAAAACATACTGCACAAAAACAACAGCATAAAATGAGGTCCTCAAATCCCACACTCATAACCAAAACCCATCTACATTGACAGGAACAGGAATTTAAGTCATGATGTTAAATGGGCTTGTTATAAACCGATGTTTGCGGTATTCCTTACTTAAAGCACACGCTGGCAACACGTTTTGGTAGCATTCTTCAGCAAGATAAGAAAATTAAATGAAGAAAAACATTTTTAGAAAGACAGTGCTACAACACTCTTTATTAGTACTAATTCATCATTTCCCCATGCTATTTTAATGCCTGCAAAATCTTCGGGTTCTTCCAGTATGAGGCGGCTATCAGAGAAAAAAAAACATGCTTAAAAATGTTCTTTTCATGAAGGCACCACATGAGGAAGCTGGCTTTCCCTCTGACCGAGCTCCAAAGCTCTAGTTAACAGATGCCTTTAATTCATCTGTTTGGATGTTTAGACCACTGGGAAACTTTATGCACTCTGTCCTCAGGTTCAGAAACACTGCTCAGCAGGAAAGGGAAAGCATGCTCTTGTGCTTGTTGCTTGCCAGGATAGACTCTAGCTCCCCGGCGACCCTGTACTGATAAAGTGGTTAGAAAATGGATGGATGCTCTCAATATTGTGGCCAGTTGTGGTCACATAAAAGAACCCAACTGGAGAAGAGCAGCCACGCATGCCCCAGGGCTTGGGGGACTGTCCTACACTGACAGGCTGAAGGAACTGAGTCTCTTTAGTCTTCAACAGAGAACACTGCGAGGAGAGCCGATACAAGTATTTCAAATCCTCAAAGGCAACCCAGAGGATTTCATCAAAATATACTGTGAAACACCAACCAGACATCAGTGGAACCGAGGCAGAAGGGCATTTAAAACCAGCTACAGGAGGCAGGAGGAGCTCATGGGAGTGTGGAACAAGTGCCCAGCCAAGTTGTTGAAACGGATACCCTGACTTCTGAATGGCCTCCTCTCGTTTGTAGCCGTTTAAATGTTATTAATTGTGTGATGATTGTTTGACAAACAGATTCCGATGAGAATAAAGTATCAAAACACTCCCACAACGAGCTTTTTTTCTTCTTTCTATTGAGAGCCGGATAGGCGTGGTCAGTGCAGTAACAGAAACTACTACAACCGGCTTGACACCAATTAGAAATCCCATTCTGCATTTTAAATGGTGAAAAACAATTTGAGAAAGTGCTCCAGATAGAAACCTCAACTAAATAAAAACGGCTGAGGCGCATACCAACAACGCCCACTCCAATTAACACCACTGCAAAAAAAAAACTCGATTCCAAACTTTGTCCTCAATAATAAACTTAACTCTCCCGGTAATATGATACTCCCTGCTTGAGTGCCCAATGGCCTGTTCGCGTTAACCCTTCAAGTCTGCTCAAGTGCAATTCTGAATGTGCGACACATACTTCACAAGTACACGGCCACATCGTGGATTACACCGAGCAACAACTCTCTTTCACGAAGGAAACGACTACAATCGATCTGCAAGCACAAGATTGTAACGAATGTGTAATCACTAGATCAAACCAGAGCCCGCGATCACGGGCAAAAACGACCACTGACTGCTGCTGAGAAGTTCAAAGAGTTTTCGGTGCCTGTCGCATAAATGAACTTAGATACGGCACAAGAATAATGCTGCAAACAGAGCAGGGGTGGTGTTAGTCAGGATGTCATGCTGAGCAAGTTCTTTAGGGTACTTGAAGGCTGCCCGTGGGACGATTCGAAACAATGTTGCAGTTCCAGATATTCATGCTTTTCCAGGAGGCAGTAAAGTTTCCAGGCCATGTTCCAAATGTGTAAAACGGCAGGATGTCGTAGTGTCACGGTTACAGAACCAAAATCAATCATTTCGCAGGTTGTCAGTAGCGCCACTTTCAGCCGGACTAAACGCTGTGTCGATGCGTAGTTCTTGGGTGCCTACCTGGACAGACGCAGTTTTTGCTGCGACACTGACAGTGGGGTCCGGCGATAACGGTTCCACTTTTTCTTCTGGCGTTGCACCCGAATACGAACTCTGCATCTTCTCCGGATAGCAGCGGGTTATGCGTTTCAAAAGCCCAGGTGACCGGACTCCGGCCTGGGTTTGTCTGGCCAGGAGAAAGCGGCAGCACCTGCTACCGTACAGAGCCATCGCTCCTCGTTCAAACTGGCATCCAAAACAGGAGGACCGCACACTGAAAAGTGCCAAAAGTGGCCAGCAGCACCCACACATGATAACAGCTCTGCCAACACGTGCTGAAGTCACACAGCCAATTAGAATCGTGGGTGGGAGTGACTGAAAGCTCTATTGGCCAATTATCTCCATCCGCGGTCGAGCACGCACCACACCGCTCTCTGGGTAGTGTAGTTCTCTAAATCATAGTTAACGGATTGGAGAGAGAGCTGGGTCATACTAATATTTTCTGTTTTCAGAGTTTTAATTTAATTTCAGTGCTAATAATTTACGACCAGAACAGTTGATACTATACGGTTTGACAAGCTGTAGCGTCAGGAAAAAGTGAACGCGTTAACAGAGAAATCTGTTTGGCGGAGCGGTGGCTCTGTGGCTAGGGATCTGCGCCTGTTGCCGGTTCAAATCCCGTGGCCAACAGAGGAATCCTACTCCATTAAGCTCCTGAGCACGGCCCTTAACCATAGCTGCTCCAGGGGCGCTGTACAATGGCTGACCCTGCGCTCTGACCCCAAGCTTCTCTTTGTCTGTGTCTCATGGAGAGCAAACTGGGATATGCGAAAAGACAAATTCCTAATGCAAGAAATTGTATATGGCTAATAAAGTGATCTTATCTTGTTACCTTCCTGAAATATGAAGTCGTACTGCATTAGCTTTTGTGAATGTCCACAGCTCCTAAGACCTAAGTTGGATCCTCACATTTTTCCTGACTTTTTGCACGGTTTTTTTTGCCTCTCTTAATTTTAATTGGAATTTAGGACGCTGACTATGACATTATTCTGACTGACGTTTCTTCTCAGTTTTGCAGTCCACAGCATCAACTTTTTTCCCGAGTATACCGCGTTAACAATCAATCTTGTCTTTCAAAAGGAAGCGTTGCGCACAAAAAATTATTGATTTACATGCTTGGCTTCCTGAAACGCTTCACGGTTGTGAATGATTATCATTCTCGGAATCATGTGCCATGTGCCATGTGCCATGCGCATGTTCGCCGTACAGCCCTGCTGCTCCACGGGGCGATGGTGTGAGTCTGTAGATATCAAGCCTGCTCCGCACTGCCCCGTTTACTGGAATCTCCGCACGGCACGGCTGTGGCTTTGAAGGTTCCGCCAAAGAACACACGTGACGTCACAGCGGTGGACTGCCGGTAGAGCTAAACCAACGCTGTACCCCCGTGGACTGCCAGGGCCAGGGACACTGCCCTTTGACCGGGTTTACACATCCTCTCTACTTTAAAGAGTCATTAACGGGCACTACGTTCTGGAACCCTACACAGAGTTCAGTTAACCTAAACCATAATAAAAACAGCCCAGCAGCTATGCTCTCTTCTAAGCTAGAAAAAGTATGTAGTGACAGTATCAGGGATAATTGTAAAAATGTCCAGCAATGGAATTCAAGATTATAGGATTTATTCCTAATCAATGTTGGACACCCTACCCTTTCACAGTTGCAGTGGACTTCTTTCACATTATGTCCATACAGATCATCAATTTTCCTTTGGGATCAATAAAGTCTTATCTATCTATCTATTCAAATTCAAAGATTTTTTATTGGCAAGACTGGTAAATTACAGTGTTGCCAAAGCATATACAGTCAATACAGCATCTACATACAACATACAACATATCGACTTCACAAGGCTGTCAGTGGCAGCAACAAGCATGACTTTATTGGTGACTTTCTGTGCCTGTGTATCAGGGAGGGCTCAGTGCGCTGAGAGAGTTACAGCTGTGACATCGCCACAGCAGGGGACTCGGGCTGTCAGCACAGCGGAGATGTCTGCTGTCTCGGGCGTGGCGCTGTTCTTGGAGCCCGCGTCACACACGTCAGACATAGCATAGACTGGACGATAAATTCCAGAGGTCCCCTGGGGTCTATTTATAAACCACGCCATTCATTCATTGAGACCCAGGCCGGGTGTAACCATGTTACTAGCAAACGTTCCTCCCGGGAGAATCCGTGACAGTTTATCCTGTCTCCCAGTTAGACCACATTGGACCCCAGGTGCATAACTCTGGGGGCCCGAGTCCAGCAGGGTTTCGTCACTTTGAAAGATCAGCAGCTGAAGGCCTTTGTAAAGAGCTAAGCTGGCGCAGGTAAGCCAATGAGTCGCTCAATGTGGTCATTCAGAGCAGAGGTGGGGTCCAAGCCTGCAGGCCCTCCAGGGCTGGAGTTGTGCACCACTGCATTAGAGCCTGTAAAGTACCTGGCTCACCTCTGGACTTGCCTCTGCCCTATAATGCCAGTGCCATGGTTTCACTAATGTGTAACCTGCTACCGTTGTCGATATCAATGATTAACCAGCAATAAGCAGCTGGTCCGAGGAGAGACGTGAGAGCCCACTGATGTTTTCAACACCACAGGTCCGACCAGAAGAACAGCTACAAAAGACGGGAGGTTTGGTAGTTAGTAGATAACTGATCCAAATATCTCACCCAGCTGTTTCTTGAAAGAAGCTAAGGTACTGGCTTAACACTATGGCTGTGTAGCTTGTTCCACAGGCACCGTCCTGGAACTGGAATACTTGAACAATCCTAAAATGCTCTTAAAACTGTGTTTCTTTTTCCTAGTAAAGGAACAGTAGAGGTTAATTCCACATTTGAAAATAGAAAGAAAAAGCGCAGTATCAGCTGCTGGCCCTTCCTCAGGTGTGCAGGAGAGAGAGGAAGGGAGCAGGGTTATAAATCACAGGAGAACAGAGGACACAGCAGGAGAGGGAAGTGTCAGGTGGGTGAGAGGCGTGAGAAGCTGGAATCTGTAAATGAACGGAGAGATTCGAGCTAGAATTCAGCCCATCACTGAGAGAAGATCGGAGGTGTGGTCCAGGTCTATGACGATCTTGGCTTCTCATGTCAGTCTGGAATAACCATCCTAAAATCCCTATAAAAGCATGACAGGGGACAGAAAGATCAGTGTGATAATAGCCAGGAGAGGTGAAATGGAGAACTATCATCCTGGAGAGATCTCGGATCCCCACTGCCCTGATGTCTTCTTGCCTTCCTTAAAATGATTGGCCAGTCTTCTTCCTGTCTCACCAATGTAAATGGCAGAGCATGTTTGTATAAGGCAGAGAACATGAGGTTCCTCCATGCACAGCAACAGCACAAAAAGAGGAATTAACCTTTTTGTTCTTCTGCAGCAATGCAGGCCGACACAGCTTCCTGCACTCAAATGCGTTTTTCACTGTATGTTTGGTTCAGAATTCTAGTTCATCCTTCGGTTTTTTCTATTCATTCTCTATGTCTGTCTGCACCTTCCAGCGCACGCAGTGAACACTGCAGTCAATATCAATTATCCAAGTGCAAGTCAGTAACTTGCACACACAGTTGTGAGGATGATCCTACAAATCATTGGTAAGTCGAGATATTCAGTGTGCCCCAGCCTTTCCAATCCAATTAGGTTAAACTGTCATCGATATTACTTAATAAAATACACTGCAACTACTTCTTTCACAAAAAGCAGAAGTACATATCTATTACCATTGCACATAGTAGGAAAGTTGTCCCTAACAAAAGTAGAGTGGAAAATTTGGGATTTGGGAAATCCAATTTAAACTGTACTTGTATTTAGAGCATATCTCAAGAGGGTCCGAATCACATGAATATATTATATTATATTAGTAGCAGAAATAGATCTTTAACGATAAGACCTAAGATATGAGCAAGAATACAACTTTTAATAAGATAAAAATGCATGTTAAATAATTGTCCAAAAAAGGTCTATAGATACTCAGCGATTTGGGCATGTAGATGATTGTTTTACATTCGATAAATGTGTTAGGACTGATCTTCTTCAAAGATCAGAAGACCAGACTTTAGTGGCTTTGCTATTGGACCTGATGGCAACAGACATTTACTCCAGTATCATAACCTCTGATTATGTTCTGATCACTCATTGTACAGTTTTCGTTCTCTAACACAGATTTTGCATGCAAACCGCTACATGAGTGAAATGCAGTTCAGGCAGGAGAAGGAGCCAAGGCAGCTGGGAGCCTGCTGCTTCTGGACATAGTTCAGCTCCCGCAGTGAAGCCCTCGTGCCGATAGCTCAGCGCGCGGCCCCAGCTCCTGCAGTGAACCGATATCAGAGGAAGGAGGCCCTGATAAGGTGTGTTTTCACTGCTCTCGCCACTCAGAGATAGAGGTGTGGGCTGCAGCCTACATTACCTGTCTTGTATTGAAGAGCTTGCACGGCGGTCTAGTAATTGGGGCCCGGGAGTCGGGAGAAGGCTGGTGATAAGGGAAGAAGCAGCTCTGTCATCAACAGACACCAGAATTTTTAGTGACAGGCACTGTCAAAGCCACAGAAACAAGAACCACAAAAGAAGCATAAATCGCATTACAGACAAGAGCCACTGAAGCAATAGAATAAGCGCAACGAAGAAACAAAAACTCCGTCAGAGAAAGCTTTGGCTTATGCAAAAAGGCACATTACTGCTCATGGATCTCCTGTTATTTTTTAAAAATGATTTCTTGCCAAGGATCCTTTTTGCATCTTCTTCTGTGTTCGACGCCATTTGTATTTTTATTCCTGTTCCCCAAATCTTTCCTGGGCCGCTGAGCCTGGACTGAAGGACCGGAGGGTGTGTGTGGGTGTAGACGTGTGTTATGCATCATAAAAGGAATCTCTCCGTTTTTCCTGAAAAATGACTCTCGTCAGAGACATCACAGGCCACCCAGATGCCAGCAGGGCTTGACAGGACGAGCTGAGTGTGTCAGTGTGGGTTGTATGGAAGTGCTGGCCTACCACCCAAACCTAGATCCCCTGAAATATTAACCTGGCAGGGTTGTGTGGCTAGTTTTACAATTCTGACATACAGAAATTGTTGTGTAAAATGTAAGAGGCCTCCAGCTTTAGCTTTTAGAGATCTATGTTTCTCATGCAGCCCCACATCTCCTAAGGTCCTTCTACAGGACATGTATTTTCAATGAGATATTTGGCCCCTTGACAGAAAGCCCGATGACCCATTGTCCCTCAGTAGAATCAATATTGCAGCTCTGGAGTTGGTCCAGAGAAGAACAGTCAGATACATTCTGGGGTTTAAGGGAATGGGCT